GAAATAAGAGGAAGAAATCATTTTCACTCATAGCTAAATATTTGATTTGATTCAAGAACCGACATCACATCACTCGGGGCATTGCCATAGGCGCTTCGTCCCCATCTTCAGCAGCCAGCGAAGAGTTCCGATACTAATGGTGCCAGTAGCATTCTGATTAAACGTCCGTCTTGCCTTTCCTCTGAGCCTCGAGCATCTGCCAGAACGTCTCATCACTCCCCACTGCATCAATCTCACCAGACTGGTGATCCATCTGCTCCTCCGAACTGTACACACTCTCCCACAAGGCACTAACCACGTCTGCCTTATCATGTATTAGCATTTCACCAAGTTGTGCAGAGCCAGCCAGTATATCCGCCTGTTCATTCCCCAACACACCGGCGTACCCTGGTGAAAAAATCCAGACAATACTCCTCACCCGTGTCCTCCGCAGCGAAGCATGCCACTCTACGCGAAGCATACCTGTTCTGATCTTCCTTAGCATGCTTTCTGAATCAGTTACAATCACGATGTGTGTGTGTGTGTGTGTGTGTGTGTGTGTGTGTGTGATGTTCTCTAGCCAGCGGAAAGCTGCAGTTACCGCCTCCACCTCCATTCTTAAGCTGGATGCTGTGGTATCATATGCTAGGCTGTCCTGCACCAAACGTCGACCATTAACTATAGCTTAAGAGTATAACAGTACTATATGATGGGAGTGGAGGCGATCGATCGCAGGCTTGTCTCCCCTGTGATGGCGGATGTCGCTGCGAGCACTTGACGTCAATTCTCGGCATCTTGTTGTTTATTATCATAAACGACCACGGGATAAACAACATCGTTGGCCAGCCACTTCTACACACCTAGGGTAGGCATTTTTGTAGTTTGTATACACCAGCTGACAAAACTGGGACACACAAACACGCTTGTGTGTTGCGATCCTGGCGACGATACAGAATACATGATAGAGTAAGTCTATGGTGGTTTCTCTTGTTGCGACGTCTGCAAGATTTTCAAGATAACAACATCTGAACTTATTGTTGTGAGGGTTGTTATTTTCACAGGCCGCTGATCTTGTTTTGTTTCTTGTTCAGCGTGTGGCTGTGTTTACCTGTCTATGTTTGTTATTCTTATAGTTGTATATGCTCAGAATGTCGAAACACCTTTATTTTTATCAGCAGTGGCACCACTTTCCTGTCAGGTTCAGTCTAAATGGGTTATCCAGTGTATAACTTATACACTGTATATTTAAATTATAACCCAGGTGTGTTAGACAGAATATTGTTGTTTAAATTACTATTACTTTTAGACTTGTTGTTTAAATTACTCTTATTGTTAGAAAAGTAGCTGAGGTATGGTCTTTCTTCCTGTCGATCACATTAGATATTTATATTTTTGGGAATTTTCATAATGCAGTATATCACGCATTAAAAAAAATTTGGATATTCCCATAGACTACAAGACTTTCGTGAGACTATAGTATATATTTACCCAGTAGTAGTTGCAGTAGTAGTAGTAGTGATAGTGCTTGTAGTAGTAGTAGTAGTAGTGCTACTGGTAGTAGTAGTACTACTTGGTAGTAGTAGTAGTAGTAGTAGCAGTAGTAGTAGTAGTAGAGCTAGTAGTAGTAGTATTAGCAGCAGTAGTAGTAGTAGTGCTAGTAGTAGTAGTAGTGGTGCTAGTAGTAGTAGTAGAGCTAGTAGTAGTAGTAGTAGTAGTAGTAGTAGTAGTAGAGCTAGTAGTAGTAGTATTAGCAGCAGTAGTGGTTGTAGTGCTAGTAGTAGTAGTAGTGGTGCTAGTAGTAGTAGAGCTAGTAGTAGTAGTAGTAGTAATAGTAGAGCTAGTAGTAGTGGTAATAGTAATAGTAGAGCTAGTAGTAGTAGTAGTGGTGCTAGTAGTAGTAATAGAGCTAGTAGTAGTAGTAGTAGTGGTGCTAGTAGTAGTAGTAGAGCTAGTAGTAGTAGTAGTAGTGGTGCTAGTAGTAGTAGTAGAGCTAGTAGTAGTAGTGGTGCTAGTAGTAGTAGTAGAGCTAGTAGTAGTAGTAGTAGTGGTGCTAGTAGTAGTAGTAGAGCTAGTAGTAGTAGTAGTAGAGCTAGTAGTAGTAGTAGTAGTAGTAGTAGTGGTGCTAGTAGTAGTAGTAGAGCTAGTAGTAGTAGTAGTAGTAGTAGTAGAGCTAGTAGTAGTAGTAGTAGTGGTGCTAGTAGTAGTAGTAGAGCTAGTAGTAGTAGTAGTAGTAGTGGTGCTAGTAGTAGTAGTAGAGCTAGTAGTAGTAGTAGAGCTAGTAGTAGTAGTAGTAGTAGTGGTGCTAGTAGTAGTAGTAGAGCTAGTAGTAGTAGTAGTAGTAGTGGTGCTAGTAGTAGTAGTAGAGCTAGTAGTAGTAGTAGTAGTAGTAGTAGTAGTAGTAGAGCTAGTAATGGTAGCAGTAGTAGAATTGCGAGTGGTAGTAGGGGTAGTAGTGGTAGCAGCAGTAGCACAAATAACGGGCACATATTATGGCGGCCACACAAAAAAACCCTAACAGGGCCTCAGTCACATGTCAATTGCACTCTTCCAGTGACTTAATTTGTGGACTTTCCGGCGACTACCGCCACTGCCGAGAGTATCCCCTGAGTAGCCCAGTATTTTATGCTATCCTCCGAATAACGGGCACAAATTATGGCGGCCCAAAACAGGGCCTCAGTCACATGTGAGTTGCGGACTTCCAGCGACTTGAATTATGGACTTCCGGCTACTACAGCCACCGCTGAGAGTATCTCCTTCGCCACATGTAGCGGCATGGAGCAGGGTTAAACTAGATGGCTGGGACTCACGAGCAGCAACTACTCCTTCTCCAGCCATCTAATTTAGCCCTACTCCACGTGTAGCGACGCAGAAGATACTCTCGGTAATGGCGGTAGTCGCCGAAAGTCCCCTTTTTACATGTGACTGAGGCCCTGTTAGGATATATTTTCGACCTCAGTAATTTGGGACTGTTATTTGGAGGATAGCCGATCTTTCTATGCTGGGGTCCCACCTTTGGCCCGTGATGATCCCAAATTTCAAAATGTTGGCACCTGAGTAAACCTAGTTGAATATCCCTGTGTTCTCTGATGATGAAGATGATGGAGGTTGAGCATACACATTGATTTTAGCTTTTCAAGTTCCTAAATGATTACTTGTCCATTTCCTGACTTTTCTAGACTCGGATTTCAGTTCTAGCAATGAATGGCTTGGCCTTGCCACGCAGGTCTCTGAGAGTTTTCAATGTGCAGGATGTTTTGCATAATCATGGGTAGGGTGACTATAATAATTTAAATTGAAATGGGACACGCAACTAATATTTTAAGCTGATAATGAGACAACCCACTAATATTTTGAGCTTCAGGTCAAAATAGATGCTAGGCGCGGTCACTGTTTTGAGTCGTGGCAAATTTTTTGCTTCTGCCAGACGGTGGCCGTTGCATTTTTGCTCTATTTGTAGATTGAAAGGATATAGATTCGTCGCCCACCTTCTGAGTTTAGTGCATGGTGCGAGACTGTGAGCTGTGGATTTCATTTGGAATGTTTTTCGACTGTGACCAATGTAGTGGTGTGAATTGTAGATTTATAAAATGGCGCGTGGCCTGTTGTCGCAATATTGGTGGTGCCATTATGTGATTAAAATTGATCGCATGTGCACCTGCATTTCTAATGTCGGACTGTTTGTGTTAGCATTTCGGATGGCTACCATATGCTTTTAATGTGTGTGTATGCCAGTGCGTATGCTGAGACAGCAGTCTGTTAATCTCTCTACAAGAGACTGTGATAAACATTGTGTGTTTTCGTTGGCACGTTCACTGGCTGTAAACTCCGGCAGAAAGTTCTGGTTGATTGTCTGCTTATAGACTTTAGTCTTGTTCCAAAACTTGAATTATGCATGCAGCTCCATTTCACAGGTCTGGCTGATTTGTATACAGGCTTTTGATTCCTGACCGTTTAGACAGATGCACTCGGACTTCACAGGAGGCACCTCTAGTTAGTCAGCTTTTGCAACATGTTTGTCTGGTTAAGTCCCCTACACAACTGGAGCCTAATTTAGACGGTTGATTTGAGGGTCACTATGACTGATAGACAGTCCACCTTGATACAGAATTAAACACACCTTTAGACTGACAGACAGTTGCATCACCTTTAATGGACTTTCAGTCTTATCTGATGGACAGGCCAGCTGCTTGTTATAGCCTTGAAGGGTTGTTTGTTTCTAGCCACTTTGCTGACACAGTTTCCCCATTTCTAGACCAATGGTGCAATAGTTACGTCAGCCATCTACTGCAGTAAGTGCTTTCGATGAGACACTGATCTATGGATTTCATATAAGTTTTTCTTCTTCTGTGCTTGTAGCGTTTTTGTCTTATGAACTCTACCGAAAATTGCGGATAAACGATAACACCTATGCTGGTGTGTGCTTTATGCAGTTTTGCTTGTGCAAAAGCTGGCATGTCGTGATTGACAGCATATGTCAACAACGAGCTGTAATTCTTTTGGGAGACTATTCATGTTGGCACATCTGGTGGTTGCCTTATGCATTTATTTAACATGTGTGAGCTTTTAAAAGTTGCTGGGGCTTATATATTTTTTTACTACTTTTCAAACTGGACAGTGAGTAGCATTTTATGTGATTTCCACTAGCATAGGATCGGAACAGTTATGTGATGACGCATGTGAAGTGAAGTTGAAACCGTGACTAATTAACTATTACAATGATTAAATGTATCTTTTTTTTTTCCTTAGGTTAATTTATAACCAGTGGACTTCAGGGAAGATGTAAGAATGATTGAAAGACGGGTACCTAGATATTTGTCTGTTCCATTCAGAACTTGGATATCCTAATTTCCTAAATCAGCTCAAATATTCATTCAACTGTGTCATAAAGCTGTGAAGTTACTAAAGACTCTTGGAGATTGTGATGGATACGACCCAGATGTATGTTCTTGCCAGACTTGCTCTAGCATTAACTGTTTGATTCTAAGTGCCTTCGCTCGTGTGTACCTGAAGAATTTCAAATAATGTGTGATACCAGCAAGTATTTCTGTCCACGTCTTCTGGACTACTTGGTGATTGCAGGTTGCCGGAGTCCAAATGGGAGCAATCATGTGTCCCAGACCCCAGAGCTCCTCAGGCGTTACCCTTTAGAGGACCATCAAGATTTCCCTCTTCCAAATGATGTGATATTCTTTTGTCAGCCCGAAGGGTGCATCAGTGTGGGGCCAAAGAGTGTGACTCTAAGAGAAACCACATCCTTTGTCTTCACCCTGACGGAGAAGGATACAGGCTTGGTGCGCTACGGGATATGCATCAACTTTTACAGACCTTTTGGTAAACGAGCTTACGCGTCTGAGATATGTCAGAAGGCAGAAAGGGCAAATGCAAATTTAGGCCATTCCTTGGAAAACATGAGTGCATCAGAGCGCGACAGAGGTAAATCGCCAAACAGGTCACGGAGAAAGACGTGGGTTCGAAACAATACTTTGACTTCTCTGTGTGTCATCAGTCACCATCCGTTTTTCTCCACCTTCCGTGAGTGCCTGTTCATCCTTCGACGTATCATAGAAGCTTGCCATGATCGCAGCTGCGTCAAAAGAGTAGGAGGGTCTAAGGTTACTGCAAGGTAAGTTCAGCAGTTAATAGTAAAATACCACTTTCATTTCTTACTGATTATGTGTAAAAGACTCATTGTATGTTTTATGTATGAACATAATATGCTTGGGGCATAAAATACAACTGCCGTATGAGAGTTGAATGCTTGGAAGGGCCGAATGAAAGATGGTCCAGTGTGTGCTCAATTTGTAACCCTTTGGAAATAAAGTTTGTTCATTCTTTCATTCATTCATCTCTTCATCTTCTTCTCCTTTTTTTCCTCTACTCATGGAAAGCCTTGTGGCGTCAGGGCAGGAAGAGAGTGCTGGAACGGGCCCTTCTGTTTGCTTCGTATGTAGTACTTTTCACCCTTCATGCAAAGTCTGGACTCGGCGGATTGTGCGGATGAAACCTCTTATTGGGTCAATGAACAAGAAGGCGTTTACAAGCAGACTCTGTAGAGAGCTTCGAGCAAGGCAGGGCGATTAAGACGCTTTGGTCATCCACTGCACATAGGTCTATTTCCAATCGTCTTGACATTGTTCTGCCATTGGATCAAGATGGACACAGGCGAGAGAGTAAGGTCAACAAATTGCGCAACTCTTCCTCACTTAAATCCAAGTCCTTGCACAAGTCACTTTCATCCTTCCAGTACTTTTCGGTCTCTCTATTTCTGCGGTCCATCTTCTGCATAGTTGACCTCTAGCTCTGTTACCGTTGCATCTGTATAACATTGCTCTCTGTGGTGCCTTGTCTGATGCCAGTCTTGTTACATGACAAAACCATTTTATATGTTGTCTACCGATAAAGTTCAGTATTGGTTCTGTGCCGACTCTCCTCCTGATATCACCGTTCCTAAGTCAATCTTTCCTTGTTACACCTAGCACTGTCATAGACCTTATGTCTGCTGTATTGGCATGTGGCTCGTTGGTAATCTACTGACAGACAATCTTTCACTACGACACACTAAACTAAAACACCCACAGAGCACACAACAATCTTTAATGTACAGAACAGTATAACAAATGGCAGTTTGCACCCACGTCGTAAGTGCCCCTACCAGAAACCAAGGCTGTGAAGGCTTTACAAATCACATTTCTAGCCTTATCACATTCCCATGGGTAGTAACTGGGCCCAATCCAATGCCGCTTCCGTACAGCTCTTTTCTCTGTAAGGAGCACAGAGCATCTGTCGAGTGCGGGCACAGTAATTCGGACAGATTGAATCACAGCAATTAAAATGAGCCATCCATAGCTGCAAGGCTAACTTGTATTATTTAACCAGCTACCGCATAACAAGTGACACAGAAGTTATCTCTGCCGAGCACTGTATAACACAGAAGTACTGCTAGTCTGACACTACACATTATAACACAGACTAGTGATCCCTGTGTCCTAAACACAATGCAATGCATTCTACTCGTCAAACGATCACAAGCTGCTAATCTACAGTCTCATGTCCTGGAAACAAAACTCAATCTTGAGCTTTCCCGTGGGTTTTGTTTCAAGCAGAGAGCTCAGTTCGTTCTTGTGGAACCCGTGGCTTCACAAGCTGAACTGCTCAATAAGTCATGCTTTCCAGCTGTCGCCCGTTTCTCGCGGCAAACTCTGGGTCAAGCCTCGGTCATGTAAGTGCAGACACCAGACATTCACTGCTGTCCTACTGGCTGTCTCATACCCCCCTATACTAGCCTCTGACAAGCATAGTGCGTAAACATTTAATTTAATTTATTTATAGCATTTTTATATAGGTCACAGAAACCTTAGTCTGTTTCTCCATTGTGTTCTATCCTGTGCAGCCACTTCAATATCATGGATAGAATCCAGTCCAGTAGCTTTGGCCTCTCTCATTAACTTTCACTTAAGGGTTTCTCTTGGACATCCTTTGTTTCCCTAATCCCTCTTGCTTCCCATTTCGGTGCCTGCTTGGCGATTCTCTGTTTTTCTCTTCTCAGAGTGTTTCCAGTACAGGGCTATGTTCTCTGTCTTGTAACTGTTGAATGGGTGCTGTTGAATAGATGTTCAGAAATGGATGTATTAACTGTAAATGATCTTGTGCTTCAGCATTCTGAGCCTTTGAGGTGAATTCCTGCAGGTATCTTTTTATCTCTCTTGCTGGCCTTCTCTTTCCAGATCCCCCCTTCATCTTCTTGGTCTGCCTCGAGGTCTACAACCATTCAGCTCCCTTGTATGTACAGTTTTTACCCCTCTGTCATTTGACATGCTCTCAATATGCCCCAGCCATTTCAGTCTATTAGAACTCATGATGCCAGTGATTGTGGTGATTTAAACAGATTGTAAATTTTATGGTTGCTTCTCACTCTCCATTCCCCGCTGTTTAGGGTGACCATATCCTCAGGAGAGTGTCGTTTATTTTTTTGTAGACACTGTCTCATCAGTACTCCACAAACAAAAAATTCCATTGTTCCAATTGACTTTAGGTATCGAGGGGATGGTGTTGGAATGCCTAAAAATGAGGGGGAAAAACATAACCTCCCCTCAAAAATGGGACTTATGGTTATCCTACTGCTGTTTCGTTCACCTGGAAGGTTGTGGGTTTGCTCCCTGGCGGAGCCGGATTTAAAAAAAAAAAAAAATGACCTTGACTTCCAAGTTGACCCAGCCTTGAGTGGGTACCTGTTGCAGTCTTAGGAAGTAAAGGCGGCCGGCGTGATGCTGACCACATCACCCATCTTGTGAAGATTGGTCTATAAAAATATAGGTCTAGCCCCATATACCCTATTCGCCTAAAGGCATGACAAAGGGACCTCTACTTGCTGCTGTTTGCATCTTTAATGGGTCCAAAGATTCATCGCAAGACTGTTTTCAAACATTTAAAATAAGGGTTCATCTCTTTCAGTGCCATATAAAAAACTGTATATGTTGCTGCCCAATATTTCTGTATACCAGTTGTGGCACTTCATGATGTGGTCACTATTCTACCAGCTACATTTACTTCCCAGAAACTTCTTTTACCTCTGTTAGACCAAAGAAGCCTAGGAGACCAGGTCAGTTTTTTTAAAAATACGCTTACCTTCTTTTTCTCAGCTGTTAACTCCGGTGAAAAGTCCTGGTTGTTCGTCCACTTGTGGACTTTAGTCTTTCTCCAGAACTTGAGCTTTGCATGCAGATCTGTTTTACATATCTGGCTTATTTGTATGCAGACTGTTGGTTCCTCGCCTTTCAGGAAGATGCACTTTGACTTTGAAGAGAGCACTGTTAATTAGTTGACTTTTATGACATGCTTGTTCGGTAAAGCAGTGCGTCTGTTTTTTTATTGTTTGTTTGTCCCCACAGTGGGGCCTTACAATCCACACAAGGAACATGCTTCCTTGATGGGGATCCCAACTCATATCTACCAGACTGGCAGGTGTACATGCTAGTCACTGTACCACTTATTCCTCTTAGAGTCCTTGCTGTGTGGTGTTTGTAGATTTGTCTCCTTCTGATGTGAGCAATCAGTCCTCTTTGTAAGTCGGTTTCTTTCAAGACATCTTTGAGCTCTGGTTTTATCATTGTAGTTGTAGTTGGAAAAAAATCCTGACCAAGATGGCGGAATAAACTGCGGCTATCACTAAGCAGTTTTGATAAATTTTGTTTTAGGGAATTTCCATCAAATTATTCTTCAAACAAGGATGATTCAACGACAGGCCCAGCAAGCCGGTAGGGGATTTGTTTGTTCAAGCACCATTGCTCAAGATTTATGGTGTATTTTGAAGAAAAAGCGCGATTACACCAGCGCTTCAAACCGCCACACACAAGACAGAGTCATGAAAGAAACATCGGCCAAGATAGACAGATCCGGCACAACAGTTTTTAAGATAGCTACATGGAACTTGTACCAGCCAAACAATGGATGATCAACAGCATTTTCATCCCTACGTTATGTTTCTCAGTGCCAAACGTGGACAATGAACAAATCACATATGCAAAAAATAACTACGTGTGAAATGCGATGTCTCCGAAGAGTCACCAACAATACACGAAGAGACAGAGTCACAAACGACAGCATTAGAGACAAAGTTGGAACAAGAGCATGCATGAAACATATTGAAAGACAGAGAATGAAGTGGTTTGGCCATTTAGTAAGAATGCAACCGGATCAGATGGCCTATAAGGCCTTTTACAGTAGAACATCGGGAAGAAAGGCCAGAGGAAGACCCAGGAAAAAATGGATAGATGGAGTAGCTGAATATGGCTAGAAGATCCAGAAAACTGTCACTCAAATCAGGCGAGAGGTTCAAAACAAATATTTTAAACCACGACACTGGGCTACAACCCGGTAAAAGTGAAGAAGACAATAGATAGATAGATAGTTGTTCAAGGTTTTCTCATTAGTTATATATAAATCCATATCTTCCCCTTTTTTTTACATAATTGACCACTCACCTCAGTCGACCGATGCTACTACTTAACCACTGACCTCAGCTGACCAATGCTACATCAGTTGTCCTTTTATACTTTATAGGGACTCTGTGTGGGGTGTGCTGACCGGCCAGATAAGTGATAACATTTCCTCCCTGATTATGCACGAGGTCCGAGAAATTGAGACCTGGATACTTCGCTTGTTGAGTGCTCCAGTGCCTGTCCCAGGAAAAACTAGAGTGGAGGTAACTTTTGCATGTGTCTTCGTCTGCCTGTTAATTCCATTTGAATGTTGTGAGGATGCCATGATGGATGCCTTCATAGCCAGGATTCTCCAGTGCTTCCTGTTTTTAGCCAAAGACCAATCTGGCAATGCTGTATGGAGCCTGTTAAATCTTGAATATTAGTCACTGATTTTTTTTTTAAATCCGTCGGCTTCACCACTTAAATGAAACTATTTTTTTATGTGATATTTTTCTTTAAGAAGTACTAGAGAGTTACATGATTTACCCAGTTACATAATTAGCCCAGTTTACATAGTTATACCCACTTACATGGTCAAGCCTACTTCCACAGTTTACCCAGTTCCATGTTTACCTATATATGTCCTTTACCCAGTTACATGATTTACCCAGTTACATGATTTACCCAGTCCCATGGTTTACCCATTTGTGTGCTTTACCCAGTTAGGTGATTTTTACATGATTTTTCTATTTATGTGCTTTACTAAGTTACACGATTTATCATTCCTATTTATGTGCTTTACCCAGTTTAATGAATTACACAGTTTACATAGTTTATTAAGTTACATGATTTACTCTGTTGAATGATTTAGTTACATGATCTACCCAGTTACATATTCATACCCATTTAAACGATTTACCCGGTTACATGATTTAGAGTTATATTATTTATGCTGTTACATGATCTACCCAGTTATGTGGTAAAGTTTAGTATCATAGTTTATCCAGTAACATGGCCCAGCCCAGTTAGGTAGTCATACCCATTTACACTCAAAAACATACATGCACGTGCGCGCAGGCACACACACACATATGTGCACACCTGCCTGCACACACGTGCGCGCGCGCACACACGCACACACACACATATACGTGCACACCGATATGCCCTCACACACTTCCTCTAACAGTTACACCAGTTCTCTCTCACACATTGACTCACTCTCAAACACACTCGTGCTGGAGACCTTTCCATGCGTCCTGTACACAAACCTACCAGCCTGCCGACTGTTGAACTAGGGCAACCTAACAGGGCATTGACTAGTTGATGCAGAATTAAGGCCGTGAGTCAGCTTTGACATAATTACCCAGTTTAATTACTGGTGTATGTAATCTCCTGTTAGGCTAGGCTGGGCATGTACTGTGCTGAACACAAAATGTGACACCAAAAATTATGTGGGCGAAACTGTTAACAGTAAACTAGGGGCTTCTGAATCTACAGCTGGGCCTTCTCAACTCTTTCGTTCCCAGGAGATCATAGCTGATACCTAATTGAAGCAAAAGGGATGACAATAAAATTATGGGTATGCTACATCCATGGGGTCCAAATATACAACAAGTTGTTGGTGACTGGTGTTGCTGGATTGATTTAGTTTGCCTGACTAAACTTAAGATGTACAAATATACAAAACATGTTGGCTGGTGTAAGTGAGTAATATCCATTACAAATGGTGTGTTGTTTGGGACTCACAAAGAGAATTGCTAATTAAATATTTGCATTCCAGCAGTTTGTTCTTTACGGTAACGATGTTTCTTCCTCTTCATCTCTTCTTCTCCTCCTCCTTCTTCTCTTCTTTTTCTCCTCCTTCTTTTCCTCCACCTCTTCCTCTTCTTCTTCTCCTCCTCCTCGTCCTCATTCTCCTCTTCATCATCATCTTCTTATTCTCCTTATTCTTCTTCCTCTTTGTTTATTCAAGGATGGATTGTCTTGTGCCCGTTTACAGCATGGCTACTATTTAAGCACTGTCTGGCCGACCCACTGGTTTCTGTAGGCATTTGTTGTCTGGCCAACCCATTGGTTTCTGTAGGCATTTGTTGTCTGGCCGAACCATTGGTTTCTGTAGGCATTTGTTGTCTGGCCAACCCATTGGTTTCTGTAGGAATTTGTTGTCTGGCCGACCCATTGGTTTCTGTAAGCATTTGTTGTCTGGCCGACCCATTGGTTTCTGTAAGCATTTGTTGTCTGGCCAACCCATTGGTTTCTGTAGGCATTTGTTGTCTGCCCGACCCATTGGTTTCTGTAGGCATTTGTTGTCTGGCCAACCCATTGGTTTCTGTAGGCATTTGTTGTCTGGCCGACCCATTGGTTTCTGTAGGCATTTGTTGTCTGGCCGACCCATTGGTTTCTATAGGTATTTGTTGTCTGGCCAACCCATTGGTTTCTGTAGGCATTTGTTGTCTGGCCAACCCATTGGTTTCTGTAGGCATTTGTTGTCTGGCCAACCCATTGGTTTCTATAGGCATTTGTTGTCTGTGCTACCTTTTCCCGATAACAGTAGTTAAGGTTTTGTGAGGAAAATAAAACAGCTGATGAAAAAAAGAGAGTTACAGTAACAGCTTAGATAGAATGTCCCCATATGGGTTCTGCTGTCCCCATTTTAGGGCGAGGGAGGGGTGATGGACCCACTACTCTCTTACCAAGCATGTCATAAAAGTCAACTTACGTGGGGGTGGGGGGTGGGGTGGGGGGGGGGGGGATTTCCTTTCAAGTCAGAGTACATCTGCCTGAGAGGGAAGGAACCAACAGTCTGCATACAAATTGACCAAATAAATTAATGTTAACCTCTTTTCCTTCTGTATTCTCCCTAATAGTTGTTGACATGTTGTCTTGTGGTCTACAGCTAGGCTGTAATGTCTGATCCTGTCAACCCAACACATCCAGTTTCAGCAGACATATATTTGCCTTATTTGACATGATTCTTGGGGGAAGGGGAAGGGGGGGGGGGGGATTAGTGGGTAATTTATTCAAACGGATCCTGGAACCCACATGGGGAACTCCCTAATCAGTGGTTGACACATATATGGGCAGTTATAAAACAGCTTGTGTTTTTCTCCTTTGCATTCACCTTCTGTATACTCTGATGTAAAGTTTTGGTTGTTTGTCCACTTCTGGACTTTGGTCTTGTTCCAGAACTTGTGTTTTGCATGCACATCTGTTTGACATATCTGGCTTATTGGTATGTAGACTGTTGGTTCCTTGCTTGTCAGGCGTACACACTCTGACTTTATAAGGAACAGCCTTTTTTAGTCAACTTTCGCTACGTACTTCTTAGGGAGACAGGGAGTCTGCTTCTCCTCTGCCAACTGGGGCCACAGAACCCACATGTAGAAAGAATTGATACATATGTAAGTCGGTCTTTATAAAACAGCTTGTGTATTGTTATTTTTTAAATATTCATTTTACTGATTGCATGTGTGAAAGCACACCATTGAGGCTCATTCAACCATTCAGCCAGTTATTCAGGAATGTTATCAGTTTTTATGTCAGCGTCTGTGGCTTAGGCTATGCAAACACGCTTTGTAATGCCGGGGTGCCGGGTTCAATTCTGCGCTTTGCGTTGGTTTCGACAGTGGTGTTGAGAAGCCGACCGTCCAGAAAGCAATGGCAAACTACTGGGCGTAAATTTGCCTAGAAAAACCACAACAGCCAATAAATACTGGGGTTGGTTCTGCAACGTCCTGTAAAGGGACATAACTAACTCTCAGTTTATACATTGTTGTCCTCCATTGTGTTTGCAGTCTCTGAGTCTGTCACTGCTGACAAAATATCTTTCAGATATTGTCTTCTTCTTTTTCTTCTTCGCCTTCAATCCCCCAGGAAAGCATAGGCCTGCAACCCACTCATGCCAAGTTGTTCTGTCTATCACCATTGCATGCAGTTCACCCCATGACCTCACTATGTTTTTACCTTCTTCTGTCTAATTGTTCTGTTACTACTTCCACTCATCCCAATCCATGTTTTCAGTTTTAGTTCACAGGTAGGACACAGATGCAGTAAAGCAAATCAAATCAGTGGACTTCCCTCCTGGGGGTTCCCGAGCCCCATTGTGGGGGGGAAACAAGACTAGACCCACTGCCTCCCCAGCAAGCATGTCATAAGAGTCGACTGATTGGGGGATTCCTCCAGAGTTGGAGTGCATCTGCCTGAGAGGCAAGAAACCGACAGTCTGCAAAAAAAAAAATAAGTCAGATCTGTTATTTGCACAGAACACTGTGGTTCTGGAAGACGTCTAAAGTCCAGAGCTTTCTAAACCAGAACTTTCTGCTGAAGTTTACAGCCGGTGAATGGGAAGAAGAAGTCAGTGGACAGATGTCACACATTTTGCAGAACAAACATGTTACAATTGACACAAACAGAGCACTGATCAGTACAGTATTTTTACCAACAGTGTTATCAGTGCCAAACATGGACGTTAACAACAAGAGAAAAATAAATAGAAACAGTAGAAATGAAATGTCTAAGATGAATCCTAAATGTAACCAAAAAGGAGAGGATAATAAATCTGTTGCAGGTGCATGCATTACCCCTAGATCTACAACTGTGTCTGTTGCTTGCATTGATGGTAATCTTTGATTAACTGTCTTCCATAGGTGCATGCATTACTCTTGGATCTACAAATGCCCCTATTGTTTGCATTGATGGTAATCTTTGATTAACTGTCTTCCATAGGTGCATGTATTACCCTCGGATCTACAGCTGCCCCTATTGTTTGCATTGAAGATGATCTTTGATTAACTCTTCCACAGGTGCATGCATTACCCTCAGATCTACAGCTGCCCCTGTTGTTTGCTTTGCCTGACAGTACCAGGTTTGGTTTGGTGGACTTCCCGCTGCACCTGCCCTTGGAACTATTGGGCGTGGACACCTGCCTCAAAGCCCTGACTGCCATCATGTTGGAGCATAAGGTACACAGATTAGATTTTAGTTTGTGATTTTTTGGGAGCCCAACAAGTGAGGAAGACTGAAGCCAGACAAGAACATTATGCTGGAAGCTTTAGACTAATAATGAACCAAAAGAGAACTGGTTTCGTCAGCCACTGAGCCCTGAGAGATATACTGAAGAGTGGATCTGAGCACTTATGGACTGAATTGTTCAGTGGTCATTGTGAGGTCCGGAGCTCCATTTTGGAGACGGAAAATGAATAGCCCCCCCCCCCCCACCCCCTATTGCGTCTTAACAAGCATTTAATAAAAGTCGACTAATGAAGGGTTGGCTGAAATTGATGTATTGGGTTGAAAGGTGCAAGTATCACAGCCTAGCTATAAACCACAACACAGCAAGCCTACCTTCACTTTAAGGTGAATAAAGAAGAAAACCTACTGACTGACTGACTGACTAACCAAGTGACTAATCTTCTAGAAGATTTACGTGTTTAACAGTTGATTCCTGTGCTCTGTTATTCAGGCCGTATGTTCCCTGAAAAGGCTTGCAGCTGTCAAAGTCTCTGCTTCTTCTTTACATAGATCACCTATGAACTTCCTTGAAAAATTCTGGTTGTTCATCCATTTGTGGACTTTCATATTGTTCCTGGCCTTGAGTTTTGCATGCACATCCATTCTACAGGTCTAGCTTACTTCCATTCAGACTTTTGGCTCTTTGCTTCTTAGGCATTGCACTCAGACTTCAAAGAAAACATCCCTGTTTAGTCGCCTTTTATAACCTGCTTGTTAGGGGGCAGTGGAAATATTCTCCCATCCCCCCCCCCCCAATGTCTCAGAACCCACACTAGGAAACTGCCAGAGTGAGGTTTGATTTCAGACTTCCATTTACATGGCTCTCCTTCCCCTCACTGACTTCAGAAACTGTGAAGTCTGATACTGGAGCTTTGTGTCTGTGGAGAGGCGGTCCTTGAAATGTTAACCTGAACAGGGGCTCTGTCTCTGGATTGGCTACACAAGGAGGAGGTGTTCCCAGATCTTGGTCACTGTCGCACTTGTTCCTGGTCTTTTCCGTCTTAGCTGCTGGATTGTGGTGTGTGAGAGATATGTGAGGGAGAAGATTGTGTGGAGGTTTGTGGGAGATCTGTGTGAAGGAAAACTGTGGAAGTTTGTTGGAGCCTGTCTGAGAGAATATTGTTGAGGTTTGTAGTAGATCTGTGTAGGAGAAGATTGTGAAGAGGTGTGGGGAAGATTTGAGGGAAAGAAGATTGTGCAGGTATGTGGGAGATCTGTGTGAGGGTAGATTCTGTGGAGGTTTGTAGTAAATATGTGTGAGTGAAGATGGTGTGGATTTTAAAAGGTTAAGGTAAAGTTGAAGGTTTAGGTGAAAGAATTGACTTCATTGCACAGGGTTTTGTCCCATGTGGTTCAGTCTCTCTAGCTGCATCTAAGAGTGGCACACAGAGCACAACCTCATTAGCTCTGGTGCTGATCCCCATCTCATTGATCTCCATAAAATTGCACTCGTGAACTGAACAGCGCCGGCATTAAACGAACTCACAACCTTCAGAGCCCAAGGCAAACGGCGTGAACACTTTGCCATGGAAACCCCCTACAGGTGTCACAGACTAGCTGTAAACTAGAACGTGGCAGTTCCCTTTTAAGGTTGAACTCAGAAGGAGAAGAAAAAGAAGAAGAGGAAGAAGAAGAAAGTGACTTTGTTTCTAATAAGTCGAAACATTTGTGCTGTAACTTCCTTGCAGGTGATTCTTCAGTCCAGGGACTACAACGCCTTGACTATGTCGGTGATGGCTTTTGTCTCCATGCTGTACCCCTTGGAGTACATGTTCCCAGTGATTCCTCTGCTCCCACCTGCATGGCTTCTGCTGAACAGGTGAGCTAGCTGCCTCTTTGCATGCAGTATGTCCAGTGGCGAGGCGTGATCAGTTTGCAGGTGTAAGAGTTAGCTGGTAATGATTACACTTGAGAGCGTATCACAAGATATTTTCCTCATCGTTTCACTGTTAAGAGTCTGCATGGGCAGCTATCATCGTAGTACAGTACAGTGTAGACCGTTTAAGTGATCTTGGATGTGGCAAATTTATGTTGTGAAGAACAATTTGTTTATCCTCCGCAGTTTTTGTAATTTGAACTCCTATCTGGATAAGAAGAATTTCTGATGAGAAGAACCATTTCTTGCATCTATGGTGAGTTCTCCTCACCAGGCTGCACAATACTAGTAATTGGTAGCTTTCACACGTTACAGTTTCTGCATAAGTGGCGTAAGTATGCAGTGAGCGTTCTTTTTGCTCTGTTAGGGATGTAAATGGAGGGACACATTTTTAACAAATAATAAAAAGTAATAATAGATTTTTGCTCTGTTAAAGTTGTAATCAGAGGGACAAATTTATAAAAAATAATAAAAAGTAATTATAGATTTTTGCTCTGTTGGAGACGTAAACAGAGGGGCAAATGTATAACAAATAATAAAAAGTAATAATAGATTTTTGCTCTGTTGGAGATGTAAACAGAGCGGCAAATTTATAACAAATAATAAAAAGTAATAATAGATTTTTGCTCTGTTGTTGTAATCAGAGGGACACATTTATAACAAATAATAAACAGTAATAATAGATTTTTGCTCTGTTAGAGACGTAAACAGAGGGGCAAATTTATAATAAATAATAAACAGTAATAATAGTCAAATAATGAATTTTTCTTTCGCAGTGGAAAGTGTAAGCAGCAGTTACAGCCGTTACATGTACGCCTCTCCACCGAGAATGTCAAAATCTTATTTCCACAACTTTGAAAATACATGCATATATGTTCTATAAAATGACCAGAGTACTTCAGTTTCCAGAGACAAGATACTGTTTTTAAGCATTGCGTATATTCTTTATGTCCTGGAACCCACCTGGGGAGACTACAGGGTCTCCTCGACATACACTGAGTTCCATTCTGACTGATAGGTCATAGGTCAAACTGGTCGTAAGTTAAATGTATATCTTTCAACTCTATTTTTATTTGGATAGTTATAAAAATTGAAAATAAAACACAAAGATTGAATCTAAATACATAACATTATTGTAAATAAAATCGAAAAATACATTTGTACCTTATTGTATTAGTTCCGGAACTCTTTAACCCTACCAGTGTAGTTATCTTTCTGTAGTTACTATTTTTATTCATTAATTGTTTTGAGGTCATAAAAACGGATTGTCATAATTTGCATAGGTCATAGGTTGAAGAGATGATGTACAGGTTAATATTTCTACACATCATGTACTTTTTGTTTGTGAAAAATCCTGTCTATATAGTTAAAATGTAGAGTTGAAGTTAAGTCCTTGGCAAACCCAGTCTAATGGGGGTTAGTTAGTTAGTCTTTCCTCTTGAGCCTAGGGCAGCCCATAGGGCAGAGGTCATAGCTCTCCATGTCTGGTGGTTTGTTGCCACCTGTTTTAGATCTTAAATGTTCCTAGGCCCATAGTTGAGCCTTCTTCCCATTTACATTGGTGCATTACTTGCCGGCGGTCAGCTCTTTCATTAGCAGTTACTCCTGCGTGCCCAGGTGTGTAGATCCAGATGATGGAGGTTAAATGCGACTTCTGAATGCTTTCTACCCATTCGGAGCAGACGGAGAAATCTTTTTCTAGGATGACCACAAAGAAATGTAGATAGAGCTTGACCAGTTTTGAGCTCTGCTTCTGGTGCAGATTCTAAACCCTAGACCTTTAGGCCAGCAAGCAGGTGTTTAGCTAATGCATCTTCTTTCTGACAGTATGGTGACAGGTATATCTTACATACAAGATCATTGTAGTGATGCAGACTCATAATGTTCTCTCTATAGCTGCTTCTGGCTCCAACACCTTACCTCACAGACTCATAATTTTTTTTTTTTTTTATCGATCACGGCTGAATTCCAGTGGAAGGTCACGGTTAATCGTCCGCTTGGACTTTTGGCTTTTCACCTGGACTGATTTTGCGTGTACAACCGTTTTTCATTTCCCTGCCTCATGGGCACTGTACTCCGACTACGAAGGAAGACGTCAGGCCTATTTCCTAGGTGACTGTGGCCATTGTTTTGTGTGGGTCGAGACGTTGCCTGATTTGTGTGGTGTCCATTTTGTCTCCTCCGCAGGTGTTGCCCTCGGAGTACCCCTTTGGGGCAGCCCCCTGTGGAACAGTTAGCCCTCAAGGGAAGGCAGGGGCAGATCATGGGCATTCCCCGCCATCCAAGGAGGCTTCCATGCATGCAGAGCCGGCACATGGCGCTCTGGTTCTGGGCTCACCCAAGGAATCGTCACGTCCTGCACATGCCTGCTTAACCTCACAACCGTATCAGGCCTCCCGCTCGACAGGGGCTGCGCCCTCTGGAAGTCAGCGGGGAGCAGCCCGTGGGTTTTGGACTTTTCTGACCACACAGATAGGTACATTCTTTTTTCTTCGCACGTTAGATTTCTTTGACGAGCCGTTAGCCCGACAGAATTTTACATCCTGCATCAGGCATATCGTTATCAGTTTTGTCCGAACACTCGGGCGAGTGGGGTCTTTGGGTGTGGACATTCGGTCTTTTTCAGTTGAATACAAATTTTGATGGTCAGATTTTGATCCGTATGATCTAGTTTTGTCGGACAATTAGGATGGTTGCTGTTGTGGTGTACCTCAGCGCGGTGTCGACGACACTGAGGGTTAACCGAGGATGTACATGAATGGCCAGCCTATGGATGGTTGCTGTTGTGGTTTACCTCAGCGCGGTGACGACGACACTGTGGGTTAACCGAGGATGTGCAGTGAACAATGTTCTCTTTACTCCGCAGTCTTTTAACCAAGGGTTGTAATTTTGGCTGTACGTTTGGCAAACCTACTCATGTTCCTAATGAGTTTTGATAACATTTTTCACCCAAGCGTTTGGGGGCGGGCTGATGAGAGCCACAAGGACACATCACCTCTGGGGGCCGCCGAACTCCGAGATCCCCTGACAGCTCTGTTAATGCTCATTTGAGACATTATCCGTGGCGCACGATGAGGACGTGCTGTAGGGGTCTTGCGTGAGGTTCCGTACAACCAGGATAGTTAAGGATTGGCGCCCGAGTGACGTACGGAGTATCTCCTTATACACATCATGTTGGACTTAACTTCCCCTCACGCCTGTGACATAAATCACCGCGCCACACAGACTCATAATGTTCTCTCTATAGCTGCTTCTGTCTCCAACACCTTACCTCACAGACTCATCATGTTCTCTCTATAGCTGCTTCTGGCTCCAACACCTTACCTCATTGGTGTGCCTGCCAGTTTCCTGGGCTACAAGAAAGACTTTCCATTTCCAGACGATATCTGGCTGGTGGACCTAGACGGAAATAAGGTGGGTCATGTCTGTCCTTATATCTTGGTGGTGTGGTGTGTGACTTGGTGTGGTATGTGACTCGGTGGTGTGGTGTGTGACTTGGTAGTGTGGTGTGGTGTGGTGTAAGATTTGGTGGTGAGATGTGTGACTTGGTTGTGAGATGTGTGACTTGGTGGTGTGGTGTGAGACTTTTTGTGTGTGACTTGGTTGTGTGGTGTGAGACTTGTTGTGTGTGACTTGGTAGTGTGGTGTGTGACTTGTTAGTGTGGTATGTGACTTGGTGGTGTGGTGTGTGACTTGGTGGTGTGTGACTTGGTGGTGTGATGTGTGACTTGGTGGTGTGGCGTGTGACTTGATGGTGTGATGTGTGACTTGGTGGTGTGATGTGTGACTTGGTGGTGTGGCGTGTGACTTAGTAGTGTGGTGTGTGACTTGGTGGTGTGACTTGGTGGTGTGACTTGGCGGTGTGATGTGTGACTTGGTGGTGTGGCGTGTGACTTAGTGGTGTGATGTGTGACTTGGTGGTGTGATGTGTGACTTGGTGGTGTGCTGTGTGACTTGGTGGTGTGATGTGTGACTTGGTGGTGTGGTGTGTGACTTGGCAGTGTGGTGTGTGACTTGGTGGTGTGGCGTGTGACTTGGTGGTGGGATGTGTGACTTGGTGGTGTGGCGTGTGACTTGGTGGTGTGATGTGTGACTTGGTGGTGTGATGTGTGACTTGGTGGTGGGGCATGTGACTTGGTGGTGTGGCGTGTGAATTGGTGGTGTGATGTGTGACTTGGTGGTGTGATTTGTGACTTGGTGGTGTGATGTGTGACTTGGTGGTGTGGTGTGTGACTTGGTGGTGTGGTGTGTGACTTGGTGGTGGGGCGTGTGACTTGGTGGTGTGATGTGTGACTTGGTGGTGTGATGTGTGACTTGGTGGTGTGTGACTTGTGAGCTCTGCCCTGAAACTATTGACAGCTGTGCCATGACACTATTGACAGCAGTACCATGACACCATTGACAGCAGTGCCATGACAGTGTTGACAGCTGTGTTATAACACTGTTGACAGCAGTGCCATGACACTATTGACAGCTGTGGTATGACACTGTTGACAGCAGTGCCATGACACTATTGACAGCTTTGGTATGACACTGTTGACAGCTGTGGTATGACACTGTTGACAGCAGTGTCATGACACTCTTGACAGCTGTGGTATGACACTGTTGACAGCTGTGGTATGACACTCTTGACAGCTGTGGTATGACACTGTTGACAGCAGTGTCATGACACTGTTGACAGCTGTGTTATGACACTGTTGAAAGCAGTGCCATGATAATGTTGACAGCTGTTTTATGACACTGTTGACAGCAGTGCCATGACAGTGTTGACAGCTGTGTTATAACACTGTTGACAGCAGTGCCATGACACTATTGACAGCTGTGGTATGACACTGTTGACAGCAGTGCCATGACACTGTTGACATATGTGGTATGACACTGTTGACAGCATCAGTGCCATGACACTATTGACAGCTGTGGTATGACACTGTTGACAGCAGTGTCATGACACTATTGACAGCAGTGCCAAGACACTGTTGACAGCAGTGCCATGACACTGTTGACAGCTGTGGTATGACACTGTTGACAGCAGTGCCATAACACTGTTGACAGCTGTGGTATGACACTGTTGACAGTAGTTCTATGACAGTGTTGACAGCTGTAGTATGACACTGTTGACAGCAGTGCCCTGACACTGTTGACAGCTGTGGTAAGACACTGTTGACAGCTGTGGTATGACACTGTTGACAGCAGTGTCAAGACACTGTTGACAGCTGTGGTATGACACTGTTGACAGCTGTGTTATGACACTGTTGACAGCAGTGCCATGTCACTGTTGACAGCTGTGTTATGACACTGTTGACAGCAGTGCCATGTCACTGTTGAAAGCTGTGGTATGACACTGTTGACAGCTGTGGTATGACACTCTTGACAGCTGTGGTATGACACTGTTGACAGCAGTGCCATGACACTGTTGACATCTGTAGTATGACATTGTTGACAGCAGTGTCATGACACTCTTGACAGCTGTGGTATGACACTATTGACAGCTGTGGTATAACACTGTTGACAGCAGTGTTCAGGCTGGATTTTAAACATTTTTTTCAGATTTTGTCACCGTCAAATGCTGAACCTCTGCCACCACTTCCCGAACCGGAAGGGTCAGTACTGAAAACACACCTAAGACAGGTAAGATGTTGCTCAGTTAATCGCTTTGTAACTTGAAGTAAGTTTGTAATATTCACTATCACTGTCACCTGCGATGTTTACACACTGCCTCATTAAATAGATGTTTCCATTTATCACTGTGCCACCTGAGGCAGGTCAGATGTTTCAACTTGTCACTGTCCCAATTGAGGTAGTTCGGATGTTTTAGTTTGTCACTGTCCCACTTGAGACAGGTTGGATGTTTCAACTTCATACTGTCCCACCTGAGACAGGTTAAAGGTTTTAACTTGTCACTGTTCCAATTGAGGTAGTTCGGATGTTTCAACTTCACACTGTCACACCTGAGACAGGTTAGATGTTTCAACTTGTCACTGTCTCAGCTGATACAGGTTGGATGTTTCAACTTGTCACTGTCCCAATTGAGGTAGTTAGGATGTTTTAGTTTGTCACTGTCCCACTTAAGACAGGTTGGATGTTCAACTTCATACTGTCACATCTGAGACAGGTTGAATGTTTCAACTTGTCACTGTCTCAGCTGATGCAGGTCAGATGTTTCAACTTGTCACTGTCTCAATTAAAGTAGTTTGGATGTTTTAGTTTGTCACTGTTCCACTTGAGACAGGTTGGATGTTTCAACTTGTCATTGTGTCAGCTGATACAGGTCGGATATTTTGACTTATCACTAGTACTAGTAAGAATATCACTCGATCAGAGTTGTATCTGATGAAAACAAGTGTTTAGAGATCTTTGGGAAGAAACCAGCCTTAACCTTTTCTCCTATTATTTATTTCAGCAAGAAGCATAAATAGCTCAATTGGAACTAGGAAAATGTGTCAGATATGTAAGGCAAAAAACCACTTTTGAGATGAAAGTAACTCCCTGTTAATGTGTAAAATGCTTTACACTGTGCACTGTTGGATTCCTTTACTGCCTTTCTCACAGGTGTACGCTTACCTTCTTCTGAAACTCTTATCTCTGTGTGAGCCTCTTTCACAGGTATATGCTTACCTTTTTAAAAAATTCAAGTTTGTATGCTTCTTTATGTGTCTTTTACTGAAATCCAAATCTCACATGCCTTTTTATATTCCTAATTGGTTCAGTTAGAACGACGGATCAACATCGTGGCACATCCGTAGAACCCATAAGTTCTTTGTTCTGATTCTAACTCAAGTCTGAGTCTGAAGAATCTCAGCGCAGTGCACGAACTCTGTAGCACCGGTGAGGATCCTGAAATACTTTGGGTAGATTTTTTACTCCAAATTTTGCCCAGGCAGCGCTGTTAGGCTGCTGTTGTCAATTTTCAACTGCCAATGGATTTTTTATGTGCGCATTAATACACACAGGCATCCGATCTTACTACCCAGAGACCAAGGGGAATTACTAGAAGTCCACGTGAACAGAAAAAATCCTAGCCTTCCCCAGGGCTTGAACCCTGGACATCCAGCACTCGAGGTGGACGCCATGCCTCGAGATCACTCAGCTGCCTATGTTTCTGAAATACCTAACACTGTTACTTCTCTCAGATGTGTGTATCCTTTCTGATTCTGAAATGTACCTCAGTCACAGGTTTAACTTTACATTTTTTTTCTTTTTTCTGAAATAATTCTCTGTGTGTAAATACCAGGCATACCTTTCCTTTCTTTGAAATAAATATTTCTCTTTGACTTTCTCTCAGGCATACCTTTCCTGTCTTTGAAATAAATATTTTTTTCTTTGACTCTCTCAGATGTACCTTTCCAGTCATTGAAATAAATATTTCTCTTTCGCTTTCTCAGGCATACCTTTCCTGTCTTTGAAATAAATATTTCTCTTTGACTCTCTCAGGCATACCTTTCTTGTCTTTGAAATATATATTTCTCTTTGACTGTCTCAGTCATACCTTTCCTGTCTTTGAAATAAATATCTCTCTTTGACTCTATCTCTGTCATACCTCTCCTGTCTTTGAAATACATATTTCTCTTTGACTCTGTCATACCTTTCCTGTCTTTGAAATAAATATTTTTCTTTGGCTCTTTCAGGCATACCTTTCCTGTCTTTGAAATAAATATTTCTCTTTGACTCTCTCTGAGTCATACCTTTCCTGTCTTTGAAATAAATATCTCTATTTGAGTCATACCTTTCCTGTCTTTGAAATAAATATTTCTTTTTGACTCTTTGTCATACTTTTTCTGACTTTAAAATAAATTTGTTGGGCCGCGTTAACACAGTCGATAGGAGACTCGCTTTCAGATCCAGCTGCAGCCCACGGCCGCTGTTCCAAACGGGGCGGTTCCCGGGGTTAACCCAGCCTCTGGGAAATGGGTACCAGAGTTAACTCTCTGGGGTAAATGAAGGAACGTCGCTATAGCTACGGAGAACGGCAACACAGGCGGACAATTTCTTATCAGCTGTCCTTACTGGTGGCAGAGCTCTTATGGTTTATAACCGTGTGCAATGACGCTGGTTCACCTCTCCAGGCTTTACCTTTTTTTCTTTAAAATAAATGTCTCTCTTAAGTTTCTTTGAAAATAAATGTATCTCTCTCTTTCTTCCTCTCTTTCTTTCTCTCTCTCACTTTCTCTCTCTCCCACTCTCACACTCTCTCTTTCTCTCTCACTCACTCACTCACTCTCCTACTATCTCTCCCACTCTCTCTCTCCCATTCTCCCACTCTTGCTCTCTCTCACTCTCTCTCTCCCACTCTCTCTCTCACTCTCTCTCTCCCACTCTCTTTCTCACTCTCTCTTTCTGTCTCCCAGTCTCTCTCTCCCTCTCTCTCTCCCACTCTCTCTCCCACTCTCTCTCCCACTCTCCCACACTCTTTCCCACTCTCTTTCTCTCCCCTACTCTCTCTCCCACTCTACCGCTCTCTCCCACTCTGTCTTTCTCCCACTCTGTCACTCTCTCTCCCACTCTCTCACTCTTTCTATCTCTCTGTCTCTCTCTCACTCTCCCACTCTCTCACTCTCTCTCACTCTCTCTCATCTCTCCTGTCCACTCTCTCTCTTCCTATTCCCTCTCCCACTCTGTCACTCTCTCCCACTCTCTCTCTTCCACTCTCTCTCCTACTCTCCCACTCTCTCTCTCCCACTCTCTCTCTCCCCCTCTCCCACTATCTCACCATCTCTCCCCTCTCTATCACTCTCTCTCCCACTCTCTCCCACTCCCACTCTCCCATCCTCTCCTTTCTCTCTCCCACTCTCCCTCTCCTCTCTCAGGTATACCTTTAGTTTCTTTGAAATAAATGTATCTCTGTCTGTCTGTCTGTATATCTTTCTTCTCTCTCTCTCTCTCTCTCTCTCTCTCTCTCTCTCTATCTCTCTCTTTCTCTGTTTCTCTGAAATAAAGTTATCTCTGTGACTCTCTCTCAAGTATACCTTTAGCTTCTTTGAAATACATTTATGTCTGCCTGTCTGTCCCTCTCTTTCTCTTCCCTGTCTTAGGTATACTGTTAGTTTCTTTGAAAAACATTTCTTTCTGTGACTCTCTTTTAGGTATACCTTAAGTTTCTTTGAAATTGATTTCTCTTTGTGCCTTTCCCAGGTTTATCTGTACATATCTTTGAAATCTGTCTCTCATAGGCACTTGCCAGCATGAGTATGGCTCCTCAGCCAATCAAGAACCTCGATGCCCTAGCTCCGCCCACAGAATTATGGCCACGTAAGGAGAGCCTGCCTTCCAGCACCGGCTTCAATCCGCTGATCTATGGTAACGATGTGGATTCTGTGGATGTGGCCACTCGTGTGGCTATGGTATGAAAATTGTGAAGTATTTTTGTTATATATTTCAATGTAAAGGAGGGAGCCACCATAGTGTAGCGGCTAGATTTTCGCCTACGGATCCAAAGGTTGTGGGTTCAGGTCCTGATGGAGCTAGGCTTTTTTCCTCAGGTCGACCCAGCCTTAAATGAGTACTGGGAAAAGTCATGGGAAGTAAAGGCGGTCAAGCACTACATGCCCAATATATTTCCTGAAGGCGTGGAAATGGGTCCTTTACTTGGATACTTACTGTCCCCTCCACTGACTAAACAACTGAACTCAGACAGCTGTGTTACTGTGCCCAGTGTGTACAGATCAATTAGGTTAATGGGTCATTGATCCAACAGCTTGCTCAGGCAGGCAGTTGCCTCAACTGTACATTAACTGTTTAAATTGTCATTACAATGCATGGAAGAAATTATAGGGTGTTGTGGGGGGAGAGGTTATTGCATTGTGGGGGCGTCACAGAAGCTGTATATGTTTGAGTGTGGTGGCCGCCTCTGTTCCTTCTTCTGCCGTCTATCCCCCAATGGAGCACAGATCCTCAACCAACTCACACCAGGTCATTCTGTTCTTGGCTATCACATGCAGCTCTCCCCATGTCCTCCTCATCTTTTCAACTTCACTCTCTAGCTCTCTTCTCTGTGTGTGTGTGTTTTTGTCTGCTTTACTTCTGTGTGTGTGTGTTTTTGCCTGCTTTACTTCTGTGTGTGTGTGTGTTTTTGTCTGCTTTACTTCTGTGTGTGTGTGTGTGTGTGTGTTTTTGTCTGCTTTACTTCTGTGTGTGTGTGTGTTTTTGTCTGCTTTACTTCTGTGTGTGTGTGTGTGTTTTTGTCTGCTTTACTTCTGTGTGTGTGTGTGTGTTTTTGTCTGCTTTACTTCTGTGTGTGTGTGTGTGTGTGTGTTTTTTTTTGTCTGCTTTACTTCTGTGTGTGTGTGTGTGTTTTTGTCTGCTTTACTTCTGTGTGTGTGTGTGTTTTTGTCTGCTTTACTTCTGTGCCTGTTTTTGATTGTCTATATCCATGAAACACAGACTATTCTTCTGTGTATCCACATCTCCAGTGACTCAACTCGATTTTCTAATTGCCTGTTCATTGCCCAGGTTTCTGCACCAGACATTAAGATTGCAGATGCAAACATGTGACAGTTCTCAGTGTTAATATGTCATGTATCCACTTTAACTGTCAGTAGTGTTCTCATATTTTATTAACCATTCCTGTTTTTGTCTATTCTTTTAATATTTAAAATTTTGTTTCAATTCTGCCATTGTCTGTTGCTACATGTCATGAATAGGAGAAACCTCTTACTTGTTCTGATATCTCTCTATTTACTGTGATGTTCACTTTTATCTACCACACCTTTATTTTGTTCATTATCATAGTTAAAAATAAAAATATCATAAACATACTCTGCACTGTGCATATTTATGTGTTACACTAGGACTTATAATAAACTCCTGGCCACTTTCTGCTAGTAACACTATGTCATCGACATATCTTAGATTGTTTATTACTGTTCTTCTTCTTCTTCTTCTTCTTTTTCTTCTTCTTCTTCTTCTTCTTTTCTACCTTGTACCTCATCGAAATGTTGAGGGAAGTGTAACATTTGTTTATGAGCTATGTCAAGAGCACTATTAAGATGGATGTTCATTTCTGTGAGGCTGTTCTTAATGCCATCACTCCATCTTTTCCAAAGTGTTCCACTCGCTCTATACCTGCTGTAACGTTTTAGTGTGGCTCTTTGTGGCAGGTAGTACATGGCATTTGTGTTAGGTGTCCAAACCATTTCATTTGTTGTTTTTTTATGACCTGTAAGCTTACTTTATCCCTAGCATTTGACTGATTTCGTGTCTTTCCTGGAAAATCCTGCAACTTTTCTAAGGAATTTCATCTCTGTTGTCACAATTTTACATTAATTTGAGGATGTAAGTGTCCACGTTTGGCACTGATAGCATAGTTTTGGCGAAAAACTATTTCTTATAAGACTTACTTTAGTACTCCGGGTCATCTGTTAGTGTGTCAATAGGAGCGATATTTTCACCATTACTTGATTAACTTTGGCACATCTCGAGCTAATTTCTCTGTCCAGTTTTCCATCGGATTTGAAAATTGTTTATTACGGTGTGTGCAAAATGTCAGTGTTCTGTTAGTTTTTGTTTCCTTTCTGACAGGTTCGGTTTTTTAACTCTCCAAACACCCTTGGAAATTTCACGGAACATACCAGAACGCTCCGCCTGTATCCCCGGCCGGTGGTGGCGTTTCAGCTCTATAGCTTCCTCAGGTCACGGCCAGAGAAGACTACTTTTACTGCCAAACTGGCAAGGACTCAGGTAGGTCTGTGTATGTAGCTCTGCTTGACTGTTTTGTTGGTGGTGGGGGGGGGGGGGGGGCAACACTACATAGCTAAGTCTTAGGGCAGCATTACATAACTTCATTAGGGCACCATTACATAAGTGTATCTCAGGGGCACCATTACGGTCTTGGAGCATTATTGTGTAATTATCTTAGAGCAACGATGCATAACAGTCTTTGGGGGCAGCATTACAAAATGGTGTCTGTAACTGGGTCTTGGGGTAACATTATGTAACTTGACTCTTTGGGGCACCATTACAGAACTGTCTGAGTGCAGCAATATGTAACTGCTTTAGCGCAGCATTATATAAGTGCATCTTGGAGGCACTATTACATAATGGTCTTGAAGCATCATTATGTAACTAAGTATTGTGGTTAAAATGTGTAACTGGTTCTTGGAGTAACATTATGTAACTGAGTCTTAGGGGCACCATTACATAACTGCTTTATTGCAGCAGAAGGTAACTGTTTTAGGGCAACATTACATAACTGTCTTAGAGCAACAGTACATAACTATCTTAGAGCAACATTACATAACTATCTTAGAGCAACATTACATAACTATCTTAGAGCAACATTACATAACTATCTTAGAGCATCATTACATAACTATCTTAGAGCAACATTACATAACTATCTTAGAGCAACATTACATAACTATCTTAGAGCAACATTACATAACTATCTTAGAGCAACATTACATAACTATCTTAGAGCAACATTACATAACTATCTTAGAGCATCATTACATAACTATCTTAGAGCAACATTACATAACTGTCTTAGAGCAACATTACATAACTGTCTTAGAGCAACATTTCATAACTGTCTTAGGACAACATTACATAACTGTCTTAGGGCAACATTACATAACTGTCTTAGGGCAACATTACATAACTGTCTTAGAGCAACATTACATAACTGTCTTAGAGCAACATTACATAACTGTCTAAGGGCAACATTACATAACTGTCTAAGGGCAACATTACATAACTGTCTCAGAGCAACATTACATAACTGTCTCAGAGCAACATTACATAACTGTCTTAGAGCAGCATTACATAACTGTCTTAGGGCAACATTACATAACTGTCTAAGGGCAACATTACATAGCTGTCTCAAGGCAACATTACGTGACTGTCTTAGAGCAACATTTCATAACTGTCTTAGGGCAACATTACATAGCTGTCTAAGGGCAACATTAGGTAACTGTCTTAGAGCAACATTTCACAACTTTCTTTGGCAACATAAAATAACTACCGTAGGCCACTTAGGGCAACATTACATAACTGTCTTAGAGCAGCATTACATAACTGTATTAGGGCAACATTACATAACTGTCTTAAAGCAGCATTACATAACTGTATTAGGGCAACATTACATAACTGTCTTAGAGCAACATTACATAACTGTATTAGGGCAACATTACATAACTGTCTTAAAGCAGCATTACATAACTGTATTAGGGCAACATTACATAACTGTCTTAGAGCAACATTACATAACTGTATTAGGGCAACATTACATAACTGTCTTAAAGCAGCATTACATAACTGTATTGTATGGGCAGCATTACATAGTATTAGGCAACATTACATAACTGTCTTAGAGCAACATTACATAACTGTATTAGGGCAACATTACATAACTGTCTTAGAGCAGCATTACATAACTGTATTAGGGCAACATTACATAACTGTCTTAAAGCAGCATTACATAACTGTATTAGGGCAACATTACATAACTGTCTTAGAGCAACATTACATAACTGTATTAGGACAACATTACATAACTGTCTTAGGGCAACATTACATAACTGTATTAGGGCAGCATTACATAACTGTCTTAAAGCAGCATTACATAACTGTTGTAGGGCAACATTACATAACTGTCTTAGGGCAACATTACATAACTGAATTAGGGCAACATTACATAACTGTATTAGGGCAACATTACATAACTGTCTTAGGGCAACATTACATAACTGTCTTAATGCAACATTGCATAACTATCTTAGAATAACATTATATTACTGAGTCTTGTGACAACATTATGAAATGAGTCTTGGGGCAACATTGCATGACTGAGTCTTTGGGCTACACTTTATGTGACCTACTCTTGGAATATCCCTCACATATTTCTGTGCCAGACTGCGCTTCTTTCGCCTAATATTATTTTCTGATCTTTTTATGTTTCTGATCTCATAATGTCCAATTTTTTCTCATGTTTCTCAGTGTTGTATCACTTGGTTGCTCTAGTTGCCTTCATACCGCTTTGATATCCGTAAACAGTAAAGTTGAACAGAATCTATCAAAATCAAGAGCAGAATCTTAAAATGGCCTATCTTCCTCTTGTCGTTACTTGTATTCTTCATTTTGCGCCACAAGGAGTTATTATAGGGGATCTGTCTGACACTCAAAGGAAGGGTGAGATGGGTGTACAATCAGGCTATGCTCCTGTAGGGGCCTACCACTTTGCTCCGTTGGAGGACCAAGGGTAGAAGGAGGACCAGAAACAAGCAGTTATATTATATGCTAATTACCTCCAGATGTGATAAAGATTAGCATCGCTGTTTAATGTGGGACTTGTTAATTTTCCATACTTGTGCCATCTCACTTGCTATGTGTCCCTAAATCCATGGGCTCAAGACCCTCATTGTCTGCGTGATCCTGATGAAGTGGTAAACACAGGCTCAGTCAGTCAATCAGCATGTCCTTTACAGAATGTTGCTCTCTTCACTATGGGCTTGAAAGTCTCTCTTTCTGTAGCCAGTTCACCAGCCCTGTGTGCTTTCATAGCCTATGAGTATTCAATTTCTTGAATCCACCTTCGCAGAGGTCGCGATCTCCGCCTCATTTGCCAGAAACTACACTTAAATACAGGCTAGAAAGACAGTTTTATTTCTTACTAGCTGTACCCGGCCACGCGTTGCTGTGGCCCACAATGGTGAAATAGAGAGGAAAGAAAATAGCTCTCAGCTAACAGTGTCTGTTATATCCCCCCCCCCCCCTCTCCCCTCGACCCAGTCATATCTCCCTAAATAGTTGAGAAATGAGAACTTTAAAATAATATTTTAAGCAATCTCAGCTAACTGTGTCCTGCTCCCCAAATCATATCTCCCTCTCCGACGGATTGAAAAATCATCCATGGCGAAATTATTAAAATAGAAATAGTTGAGAAATGAGAACTTTAAAATAATATTTTAAGCTCTCTCAGCTAACTGTGTCTGGCATAAACCCCTACATCCCCCCTCCACCAGTCATATCTCCCCCCCCCCTTCCACCAATCATATCTTCCTCTCCGAAGGATTGAAAAATCATCACCTGGTGAAATAATTAAAAATAGAAATAGTTAAGGAATGAGAACTTTAAAATAACATTTTAAGCTCTCTCAGCTAACTGTGTCTGGCAACCCCCCCCCCCCCTTTCCTCCTTCCCCAATCATATCCTCTCAGAAGGATGGGAAAGTCACAGTGTAACGAAATATTTTAACTAAATTGAACTTCGCATCCGTGTCCACCCAGACTTAAATAGGTAGCATTAACTTGTACAGAGAAGTAAATGTAGCCAGTGTAACAGCTACCACATCACCCATCCAGTACCCGTACTACTGCAACCACTACCACCACCACCATCACAACAACAACAGCAACAACAAAAACTGTCACTACAGTCTGTGTAGGTCGGTGTAGAAAAGAGGAGTGAGCGCCGCATGCTGTCGCCATGGACTAAATTTGCCCCTGACATAGGGAAAAAAAACTTCATCATGTAACCAGTGATGGAACCCACAGTGAAAAGTACAATATGCTCATAAATAGCGAAGAAAAATACCCCGCACCCGTCATCTCTCCCTCTCTGAGGGAACGATTTTTAACTGACCTTGGCATCCGTGTCCACCCAAACTAAACTGGACTGTAGGCCTTCTTAGTTAACAGTTTCTGTCATCGCCGAATAGTTTTTGATTGAGAAGCGCCGCGGGGAGGCTAATTAGGACTTAACTGAAATTGGATGTCTTTGGGCAAAAGGCGCAGAAATGGCAGCCTAGCTGTAAACCACAACACAACGTGGCAACCACCATTTTAAGGGGAAAAGAACTGTTATCACCCAGCGGGGAATTGAACACCGGTCACCCGCGTGAAAGATGACATACTTACATTTATACTACCGACGACTGAAGAGTTTAGGTCAGATATCGCAGCCTAGCTGTAAACCACAACACAACGAGCGAACGCCCTCTCGAGGGCGAACGAAGATTACCCGTGACATGACCATTAAGCATCACGTCGCCTCTGTCGCAGGCTAGCTGTAAACCCCAAAACCGAAAAAAGGCGTAGATATCGCAGCGTAGCCATAAACCACAACACAACGTGCCAGACGCCGAGTTAAGGGCTTAAAAAAAAAATTACATTACCTAGCGGGGAATTGAACACGGGTCACCCGCATTATAGGCAGAATAGTTACCAACTACGCTACTAAACACTCAAGCAGATAGTGGAAATGAAATTATATAATAATGCAAAGTTCAATAAGAGCTCAGCAGTCAAATATGGCCAATCAACTAAAAACAAGTCCAGGCCGGCAACGAAACAAATAATGATTTGACTGTTGCTGGAGCTACGTCGTTTGTGGTTTGTGCGATTTTCTTACAAAAAAATCAGGCTTTGAGTCAAAGGCAATGTTGTGTACAAATTTGAAAGCAATCAGTTCAGTAGTTTCTGAGTTTAGGGTTAACAGCATCGGAAAATTAACATTTTTAATAATGTAGATTGTTGGCAATTTAATGTTTTTCAACATTGATCCAGGCTGTGGAGTATCTGTCAGAGTGGGCCCTGAGTCCGACCAATCACGTCTTCCAGCGTATACAGACGGGAGTCTACGACCCCAGCCTCATCGGAGACAAGGCCAAGTGGTATGCTCATCAACTGCAGAGGGTGGATTTCCATGTCTATGATAATAGTTCATCTTTGGGTGCTGCCTTGACTTCGGTGTCCAAGGATCAGAGTGACAACCCTCCAACGGATGAGAGTGGCAGCGACAGTGACGGCGCAGACAGTAACAGCTCCTCATACTCCTCTCTCAGCGATTTCGTTTCGGATCTTTTCAATAGTGATATCCGAGGGGAGACTCCATGTAAGTTTATTGTGTGGAGTGTTCCTCCTGGTTTGTAAACAGAGGATTGATGTTAAGTTTATGGTGAGGCAGAAGATTAGGTAAAGTTTAGATGTGTGGGGAGTTTCTTCTTGTTTGTAAATAGAGGATTGATGTTAATGTCAGAGTGATGGAAGGATTCAGTCAAGTTTAGATGTTTGGATAGTTTTTCTTGGTTCCTAAATAGAAGATTGATGTTAATTTTAGGGTGATGGAGCAATTCAGTAAAGTTTAGATGGGTGGGAAATTTATCCTGGTTTGAAAATAGAGGATTGATGTGAAGTTTATAGTTGTAGAGAGATTCAGTCAAGTTTAGATGTGTGGGTAGTTTCTCCTGGCTTGTAAATAGAGGATTGATGTGAAGTTTACAGTGATGGAGAAATTCAATAATTGTGTGGTAATTTGGAATCTAAGTAGCCTTTGCACCACAGGGTAGAAGAGGAAAGACTGGATGAAATGCTTTTAGAAGTTTATTTGTTTTAATTTAATAGTACTTCATGTTAAGAGCCTTTGAGAGCCTACTCAGTCAACATGTGTTGTTTATTATACCTCACTCACTCAGCACACCCTAAACATTTAGCTCATGCCACTTTCTCAATTCAACCCCCCTTCCTTCCCGTAGTTTTAATTGAAGCATTTTTGTACACTGAGCACGTCCTGTTTATAAATCAAATTCTGCCTGTTCACGACATTCCACTTCCTTGCCACACTCCGCACATCCTACCCACTCAGCACAACCCATCCACTCCACACATCCTACCCACTCAACACATCCCCCTCCTCCCAACAAACGCCAGCCATTACACACAACAAATTGAACCCAGCACACTCACAGTTTGTTTACCCGTTGCAGACTTCACCCCAGAGATGCAGATCCTAGCTGTGGATGAGTCACAGGTCTACTCCCCACCCAGCAAGCTGCTGGTTCCTGATGCTCCCATCTCCAACAGTGACTCGGCCCTCTCCCTGCAAGAGGACAGTGACATGACATCGTCAGTGTCGTCTGATTCTTCTTGTAATCCAGAGGCAGGCAGTAACAACCAGGTGAGGTCGGTGGTTGTAGAACTGGTCCTTTGTTGTCAGGTGTGAAGGCCTGTTTTCTGTCCAGCTAACAGAAGTTAGTTAGGCATGAAGTCATGTTTTCTGTCCAGCTGACAGAAGTTAGTCAGGCATGAAGTCATGTTTTCTGTCCAGCTGACAGAAGTTAGTCAGGCATGAAGTAATGTTTTCTATCCAGCTGACAGAAGTTAGTCAGGCATGAAGTCATGTTTTCTGTCCAGCTGACAGAAGTTAGTCAGGCATGAAGTCATGTTTTCTGTCCAGCTGACAAAAGTTAGGCATGAAGTCATGTTTTCTATCCAGCTGACAGAAGTTATTCAGGCATGAAGTCATGTTTTCTATCCAGCTGACAGAAGTTAGTCAGGCATGAAGTCATGTTTTCTATCCAGCTGACAGAAGTTAGTCAGGCATGAAGTCATGTTTTCTATCCAGCTGACAGAAGTTAGTCAGGCATGAAGTCATGTTTTCAATCCAGCTGACAGAAGTTAGTCAGGCATGAAGTCTTGTTTTCTATCCAGCTGACAGAAGTTAGTCAGGCATGAAGTCAAGTTTTCTATCCAGCTGACAGAAGTTAGTCAGGCATGAGGTCATGTTTTCTATCCAGCTGACAGAAGTTAGTCAGGCATGAAGTCATGTTTTCTATCCAGCTGACAGAAGTTAGTCAGGCATGAAGTCATGTTTTCTGTCCAGCTGACAGAAGTTAGGCATGAAGTCTGGTTTTCTATCCAGCTGACTGAAGTTAGGCATGAAGTCATGTTTTATATCTAGCTGACAGAAGTTAGTCAGGCATGAAGTCATGTTTTCAATCCAGCTGACAGAAATTAGTCAGGCATGAAGTCATGTTTTCTATCCAGCTGACAGAAGTTAGTCAGGCATGAAGTCAAGTTTTCTATCCAGCTGACAGAAGTTAGTCAGGCATGAGGTCATGTTTTCTATCCAGCTGACAGAAGTTAGTCAGGCATGAAGTCAAGTTTTCTATCCAGCTGACAGAAGTTAGTCAGGCATGAGGTCATGTTTTCTATCCAGCTGACAGAAGTTAGTCAGGCATGAAGTCATGTTTTCTATCCAGCTGACAGAAGTTAGTCAGGCATGAAGTCATGTTTTCTATCCAGCTGACAGAAGTTAGGCATGAAGTCTGGTTTTCTATCCAGCTGACTGAAGTTAGGCATGAAGTCATGTTTTATATCTAGCTGAGAGAAGTTAGTCAGGCATGAAGTAATTTTTTCTATCCAGCTGACAGAAGTTAGGCATGAAGTCAAGTTCTCTATCCAGCTGACAGAAGTTAGTCAGGCATGAAGTCATGTTTTCTGTCCAGCTGACAGAAGTTAGGCATGAAGTCTTGTTTTCTATCCAGCTGACAGAAGTTAGTCAGGCATGAAGTCATGTTTTCTATCCAGCTGACTGAAGTTTTGCATGAAGTCATATTTTCTATCCAGCTGACAGAAGTTAGTTAGGCATGAAGTCATGTTCTATCTAGCTGACATAAGTTAGTTAGGCATGAAGTCATGTTTTATATCCAGCTGACAGAAGTTAGGCATGAAGTCATGTTTTCTATCCAGCTGACAGAAGTTAGGCATGAAGTCATGTTTTTTATCCTGCTGACAGAAGTTAGGCATGAAGTCATGTTTTCTATCCAGCTGACAGAAGTTAGGCATGAAGTCATGTTTTCTATCCAGCTGACAGAAGTTAGGCATGAAGTCATGTTTTCTATCCAGCTGACAGAAGTTAGACATGAAGTTATGTTTTCTATCCAGCTGACAGAAGTTAGTTAGGCATGAAGTCATGTTTTCTATCCAGCTGACAGAAGTTAGTTTAGCGTGAAGTCATGTTTTTTATCCAGCTGACAGAAGTTAGTCAGAGATGAAAGTAAGTTCTCTCCACCTGACAGAAGATAACAGAATGTAGTCAAACACAGAAGTAATGTTCTCTCTATCTGGCTGATATTTCCTCTCCAGTAGATAGTAATCTAATGCAAAAGTGTCAAGTCAAAACTATGAACCCTTCTGGACCCAAGAACTGCAACAACTGCACCAAAGAAGCACTGAAGCAAGAGAAAAATGGAACAAAATCCCTCTGACCTCAACGTAACAGAACACAATAAACATCAGGCTATTTATAGAAGAGAAAAACTCACATGCATCCGGACAAGTTGGCAGGAAAAGACTGCAGCTCTCAACATGGAGAAAGATGGAAAAAAGCTATGGCATCTAGTAAAGAGTCTCAATGAGGAGAATAATACCAGCCGTGCCCACACTGTCATTGAAGATGGTGGGAAAACTTTTATTGGTAAACAAGCAGCAAACCTGCTGGCTGATAGTTTTGCAGAGGAAAGCAAAATCTTCATGTCTGGAGCGAGAGAAGAAGAAGTGACGAGAGAACTAAGGAAAATAAATAAAAAGCAGGAAGATAACCAAGATATAATGAATAAACTCTTCAGTCCCTAAGAACTTGAATGCGCATTAAGAAACCTTAAGAAAAGGAAGGCACCTGGACCTGATCGAATAACAAACGAAATGATAGTACACTTGTGACCAGCTGGTAGGCAACGACTCTTAGACCTTATAAACCAATCCTGGGCCCAGGGAATACTTGCTAAGGAATGGAAGGAGGCAGAAGTAGTTCCCATAGCCAAGAAAGGAAAGCCAAAGGAAAACTAATCCAGTTACCGCCCCATAAGCTGCCTTGTAAAGACCATGGAAAGATTAGTGAACAACAGGTTATTAAATTTCCTAGAAGAAAACAAGATATTGGATGACAGCCAATCAGGCTTCAGGAGATACAGAAGCACTGATGACCAAACCTCTTATCTCGCACATGAACAACAACCCCATGCACAGAATAGCAAATAACTTTTTTAAAAAAAATCGACTGAAAAGACAAAGCTTTCACCATCTATCAAAAGTATACTACAAAAAAAAAAAAAAAAACCAGTGACATCCTTTCTAAAGATCCTTCAACATGGGAAATGATCCAGGCATACAACATAGACCTACAGCCTAAATATACAGTCACAACAATAATTCCAGGCATAGACAGAAAGGCTGAAGAGTGTGACCTAATACTGCGTGCAAAGACCCTTGAACATGTCTACAGCTGTTATCCAAAATCCGAATGAACACAGGTTTACACCGATGGATCATTGGAGGGAGCAGACAAAAATGGAGGAGCTGGATCGGTCATCATGCTGCAAGATTGTTTTCCTTTGTGACTGCATGTCAGTCCTCCAGGCGACTCATAGGGATCCAAGAGACAACATGGAAAGAGAACTGACCTGTCAGCTAAACAGACTCACAGAAAACAATCAAATTGTTCTCCAGTGGATCCTGGCTCACTGCGGCATACCAGGAAATGAGTTAGCAGACAGACTTGCAAAAAATGGAACAAAGGAGAAACAACACGCTCATTCATTGTCATTACCAGAAATCAGAACACTTATCAAAGGAAAATACAAGGAATCGTGGAGAGAACAAACTAACAGTAAACATCCACAAGACCCCATCAGCAGACTCAACAGAAAGCAACATACAACAATTTTCCGTCTACAAACAGGACACTGCAGGCTCAACTACCACATGCGTAAAATAAAGATTGTACAGTCCCCGCAGTGTGCCTGTCAAACAGGACCCCAAACACCTGAGCACATTTTGCAGACCTGCCCACTCTACCTGCAACTTCGAAAAGACACATGGCCTCAAGAGCAAAGTGTGCAGAGCAAGCTATGGGGAACCATGCAGGACCTGCAGCTGACATGCGAGTACATAGAGGCAACCCACCTGATGGTCTGATCTGAGCATACGAAACCGAACGCAAAGAAGAAGAAGAAACACAAAAGTAATTTTCTTTCCATTTACAGAAAGTAATCAGATACAGCAGTAATGTTCTGTACAGCTGGTAGAAAGTAATCAGGCATGAAAGTAATGTTTTCTCCAGCTGACAGAAAGTAGTAGACATGAAAGTATTGTTTTCTCCAGCTGACAGAAAGTAGTAGACATGAAAGTAATGTTTTCTCCAGCTGACAGAAAGTAGTAGACATGAAAGTAATGTTTTCTCCAGCTGACAGAAAGTAGTAGACATGAAAGTAATGGTTTTTTTTTCCAGTTGATAGAAAGTAGTAGACATAAAAGTAATGTTTTTTCCAGTTGACAGAAAGTGGTTGACATGAAAGTAATGTGTTTTCCAGTTGACAGAAAGTAATCAGGGATGAAAGTAATATTTCCTGAAACTGACAGAAAGTAGTCAAACAAAGGTAACACAGAAACACCTCTAGCTCTAGCTATTTTCACACGATTCAAACTCTTCTGTTGTTGTAACAGGATGAATAACATTTGAAGAATAGATTGACCACCTCTAGCTCTATTCCCATGCATAAAGTTGTAACAAGAGGAATGACAGCTTTAAAACAAAAAATATTTCTCATATCCAATAGGAGGTGGTGTTTCGCTATGATTCTGGGAATGTGATAGACATGTCCAGATCTAACACAAGGTAAGATTTATCTTTGGTTCCCTGAGCTGTGTCTTTTGCTGTATTATTTGTATGATTGCTCAGACTACGAGCTGTTAGTAATTTTACATATGGCTGTGACACATAGACCTGAACAGCTGAACTCGAAAAGAAGATACAAGCACTAGAAATGAGATCTATCAGAAACATTCTTGGCTGTTCAAACGGACAGAGACCCCATTACAAATGACCAGCTTCACCAGATCATGGTCCAGCACACTGACAGTTATGAACCTGTTTTAACTACAAGGAAAAGATGAACAATGCAATGCTAAGGACATGTAATAACATCTAACAGATTCTCTCAAACAATACTACAGAGCTCAGTTGAGGAGAAGAGGCAGTCCCAGAAAAACCTCAGTAATGAGACTGACTGGACAGGCCTTAGAAATGCACCCATGATTTCCATCACAACTGACTGTCAAAGGGGGGAAAAGCTGATCAGACAGTTCTGAAATATCCTGTAAAAGACATACGACTTGACCTGAAAAAAAAAAAAAATCCCATCCACCTTGATGCAGATTTGAACTCTAGACTTCCAGGCTGGTAGGCGGGTGTCTAGTATGTCAGGGAAATCCCTGACTAAATAATTTCAAATATAGGCATCACTGTGTGCCATGTCGACAGTGACATGACTCTACCACAACCTTTGAATACTTGGGTATTTTCCTGTGTGGGTTCCAGGGTCATTGGGGTAGGTGGAAAGGAAGCGATGCCTAAAGAATGGAAAATGGAATATATCACTGTATTAGTTTCAGCGTCAGATTGGAAAAAAAAAAAAGGGGGGGGGGGGGGGTATGGAAAAGAGTCCTCTGTATATTTGAATATTTCCCTGTGAAAGGGGGGGGGGGGGGGGGGGGGGGGGGGGGGGAGTATATGCCTAAAGCATGGAAAAAGGTCCTTTTATAATTGAATTCACTGTGTGTGTTGAGGTTCGGGAGTGGTGAATAATTAGGAGCTAGCTGGTATCCAGTGTGTTAGACTCGAAGACGCAGATCTTGCATCCTAGCTGTAAACCACAACACATCGTACCGACCGCCCTTTTAACTCTTTCGGTACTTAATGTTTTCCCAGGAAATTTCAAAGTGATAATATAACCATGATGAAAAATGGTGACTGCATTACTTTTAAAGTGGCAATATACACACTGGTAACAATAATTTGGGAAAGCCAGATTTCTTTAGCGTGTTCTGGCCAAAAATGGAAAGAAATAGAGCATATTATACTATGGAGGGGAATCAAAGGTAAATTCATTAACACCTGGGGTGTAAAAGAGTTAACAGCAAACACTGAAGAAGGAAAATATACTTTAATAGTGAATTAAAGAGAAAGAGTACATACATCATTTTTTGAGCATAGATTTTTGTGTATTTCCAGTGGCCTTTCAGCTTCTCCAGCAGGTCTGACCTCTGCACCCTGTAGTCCTCAGGTACTGAGCCCAGCCACTCTCTCCCACTCCCCTAAGTCTCCAGCTTTTCGATCTAGTTCTGTTTCCCCTGGCAGAGCCTCACCCAGTGGGAGAACAGCGCCACCTGTGAGTCCTGGGGCAAGGTCGCAGAGAGAAAGTGTCTCTAGTGATTCGGGTACTTCTACTAGGAGATATAACAAGGTTAGTCCATTGCTTCTATTCTTCTCCTCCTCCTTCTTCTTCTCCTTCTCCTTCTCCTCCTCCTCCTTTTTCTTCTTCGGCAATCTCTTGTTTTTCTGTTTCTGCTATGTTTTCTTCTTTTTCTTCTCCTCCTTCTTCTCTTATTCTTCTTCTTCTTCTTCTTCTTCTTCTTCGGCGGAGGTGGCAACAGCGTCTTCTTCTTCTTCTTTTGCTTCTCCTTTTTCTTCTTCTCCTTCTCCTCATTCTCCTTCTTCTTCTTTCTTTTTCTTTTGTTTCTTTATTCTCTACTGTTCTATTCTACTTCTTCTTCTGTGGACTTTTCTCAAAAATTGCTTTTAGTTCCCTGGTTGACCCTGCCTTAAATAGGTACCAGGTGAAGTCCTGGGAGGTAAAGGTGACTGGCATTATGGGGACTACATCCCCCACCGAGTGCTGAGTGGTCTTTACATTTTGTAAAGTGAAAAAAATCGACTTCCTTGCGCTGGCTTTTAGCCCACATGGATTGGTCAGTCTGTGCATATTGGCCAGCTGGCGGCTGAGAGCATCGCATGGAACAGTTTGACCACTTGGCTATGGAGACCCCCTAAAAATGATTCATCATTCATCATTTATCATCATCAGTCAGCAGGTCCTTCACTGAACATCTGTCTCGTCGTCACAGTATGTCTGACAGCAGAGCCAGATTTAGACTTGATGGGGCCTGAAGTTAAATAAATCCCCTAGGCCCCTACCATTTTAAGTTACGCCAATTAATCTCAGAAAGCTTTAAAATATATCTAGTAATAAAGCACGAAAGCTGGTGCACATCAAGCTGGTTATTTTATTCAGTGTAAATTGGCTATAGGTTAGTTGTGTATCCTTTACAGGATGTTGCAGAACCAATCCCAGCAGCCCCTGGCTGTTGTGTGGTTTCTCTAGGCAAATTTACGTCCAGTAGTTTGCCATTGCTTCTGGACGGTCAGCCCCCAGTTACCACTATCAAAACCAACCCAAGGTGCATGGCCTGCAGCTGGTATCGAACCCGGCACCCCGGCATTACGAAACATTTGCATCGACTTAGCCACAGAGCCAACGTAAATCGGCCACTTCTTCGAATAAATAGAAGTCTGAGATAATGTACCCAAAGGATAAAGGTTAAGTCGGAAGATGTGAACCAGCATTACTGCACACGGTTAAAAACCATAAGTGCTCTGCCACCAGTACGGACAGCTGATAAGAAACGGTCTGCCTGTGTCGCAGTCCGCACGCAACTCCGTAGCTACAGCCTCATTCCTCCATTCACTCCAGAGTGTTAACTCTGGTACCCATTACCTAGAGGCTGAGTCAACCCCAGAACTGCCCGTTTTCAAACACTGGCTGTCGGCTGCAGCGAGTCAGCTGGATTTAAAGCGAGTCTCCTACCGATCTCGCTAAGGCAGCCCCTTCATGTACTCAAATGTACCCTAAATATTACTAATAAAATTTGAACATTTCTGTGAAAACTTTTGTTTTCTTCAGTGTATTCAATGTATTTTTTTAATGTAAAAATTTTGTTAGGAGGCTCTGCAAATTGTGAAGCCCTAAGCTGTAGCTTAGTTATGTTATGCCAAAATGTGGCACTGCCTGAAAGTTTCTCTTTCTCCAGCAGATTCACCAGCCCTATGTGCTTTCTTAGCCAATGCATCTTCAATATCTTGAATCCACCTTCACGGAGCTAAAAACGATTTTTATTAACATTTATTATTAAAGTACTATTGTATGATAGAATCACTATAATGTAGAAGTTTGGGAAAGAACAAAACAAGTTCCAGAGGATCAAGATGGGAAGAAAAGATTCTGGCGTTTGATAAAACACACGGCCTGAGAACAGTATAACTAGAATGTCTTTGCACTGGAACCCACAGGGGCATAGGAATAAAGAAGACCCAAAAAAAAAACACATGGAGAAGGGAGCTGGAGAGTGCAGTTAAAAGGATGGGGAGGGCATGTGGCGAGCTGACTGCGATAGTGAAGGAAAGAACCACTTGGTCTGAGTTGGTTTGAGGACCTGTGCTCCCTTGGGGGTACTAACATGATCTGCTGCTGTTTCTAAACGTCTTATGGTGCTTGATTTGGTCTGTGAAAGTAATAATCAAACACTGTACATTCACCAGGATGAAAGATCGTCAGCTTCATCTAAGATCTTCACTCTCGGTGGGGAACTGGCAGATCTGGCTCACAGTGCAACTAGTTCAGTCACCGAGCTGTTTGGTTAGTTTCTGTCTGGTTACCAAATGTTTAGTTAGCATTTGGATGTTTGTTTGGTTAGCAACTGGCTGTTTATTTGATTAGCAACTGGCCGGCTGTTTGAATAGCAACTGACATTTTGTTAACTGGCTGTTTGTTAACTGGCTGTTTGTTTGATTAACAACTGGCTGTTTGATTAGCAACTGGCTGTTTGTTTGATTGGCAACTGGCTGGCTTGCTATTTGGTTAGCAACTGGCTGTTTGTTAGATTGGCAACTGGCTGGCTTGCTGTTTGGTTATGTTGTAATCTTATTGGCCAAGAGTTAAAGTTTCTTCTAGTGGTCACAGCGCAGGTAAAAGGTTCACACAGCGGCCACAGGTCGTTACCTAGGATACGAGCTAATTGAATTCTGGGCGTAGAGGACAAAGGCCCAGGCAGTTGGGAAGTTTCCATTGTCCAGGTTGGACGTGTGAAAACATTAGGCTCTCTGATGTGAGGATATTATAAAACGTTTTGATTTACCATTGTTTGCGGAGAGACAGTTTAATGTCTATTCAGTTATTATAATGGCAGGAGTCCATTGAGAAAGGATAGTATCTTTTATATTGTCAGAGTAAATAATAGAGATTTATTATCGTACATGTTTTATTGAATCATCATCATCATCATCTTGTGACGTGTAACTTTAATGCCATTAAAGTTTATGTGGCCTGTCACAAGCGTTATTGTTGACTCGTAAAGATAACAACTGTATTAGATGATGCTGTGCCAGTAAGTCTAGTATGCAGGACTTCACTGTAGCATATCCATCAAGGAGATATCCAGCGGAATACTAGAGTAGGCACCCTAGGCCTAAATACTTGGTTGAATATACAGTGTACAAAAGAGTGTACAACAAAGTGTACAACAGGTTAGCAGCTGGCTGTTTGTTTGATTGGCAACTGGCTGGCTTGCTATTTGGTTAGCAGCTGGCTGTTTGTTTGATTGGCAACTGGCTGGCTTGCTATTTGGTTAGCAGCTGGCTGTTTGTTTGATTGGCAACTGGTTGGCTTGCTATTTGGTTAGCAGCTGGCTGTTTGTTTGATTGGCAACTGGTTGGCTTGCTATTTGGTTAGCAGCTGGCTGTTTGTTTGATTGGCAACTGACTGGCTTGCTATTTGGTTAGCAGCTGGCTGTTTGTTTGATTGGCAACTGGTTGGCTGGCTGTTTGGTTAGCAGCTGGCTGGCTGTTTGATTGGCAACTGGTTGGCTGGCTGTTTGGTTAGCAGCTGGCTGTTTGTTTGATTGGCAACTGGCTGGCTTGCTATTTGGTTAGCAGCTGGCTGTTTGTTTAATTGGCAACTGGCTAGCTTGCTATTTGGTTAGCAACTGGCTGTTTGTTTGATTGGCAACTGGTTGGCTGGCTGTTTGGTTAGCAACTGGCTGTTTGTTTGATTGGCAACTGGCTGGCTTGCTATTTGGTTAGCAGCTGGCTGTTTGTTTGATTGGCAACTGGTTGGCTGGCTGTTTGGTTAGCAGCTGGCTGTTTGTTTGATTGGCAACTGGTTGGCTGGCTGTTTGGTTAGCAGCTGGCTGTTTGTTTGATTGGCAACTGGTTGGCTGGCTGTTTGGTTAGCAGCTGGCTGTTTGTTTGATTGGCAACTGGCTGGCTTGCTATTTGGTTAGCAGCTGGCTGTTTGTTTAATTGGCAACTGGCTAGCTTGCTATTTGGTTAGCAGCTGGCTGTTTGTTTAATTGGCAACTGGTTGGCTGGCTGTTTGGTTAGCAGCTGGCTGTTTGTTTGCAATTGATCAAAATGGTTTGGCCATTTAATAAGAATGCATCCAGTGATTCCAACAACAATTCTTACAGCATGAAAGTAGGAATGATGTAGAGGATGATCAAGAAGAATATGGATTGATGGAGTCAATGATATTGTGAGACTGCAACAAAACAGCATACCTAGCAGCCGAGCATGCCCTAGCTCAGAAACCAATTATCTGTTAAGGTCAAGTGGCAGAAAATGGACAAAAGAAAGAAAGTATTTTTGTTCAAATGAACATAAATGTTATGGTAGTATACACTGTAAGCATGCAATGCTATTTACCGTATATTTTTATAATTCCACAGTATTTCCTCCAGACATTTGGCGTTTTGTATATCTTGTAGACTTAGACATTAGTTCATTGTAATCCTGATATTTTGGTTAATGATGTTTCAGAAATACTGATCATCTTGTAGAATTTCTAATAGAATGGTAATTTTTAGAAATGTTTTTTATTTTCTCTCGACTAAACATGAAATGAAATTTCTTTTTGCTATTACAGCTGGAGGCAACAAGCCTCAGTCTGCAACAAGTCAGGCAAGGACGACCTCAGCCAAACCATTCAGTCCTCTAGGTTTGTATCTCCTTCTTCGTGAACTCCTGCATGTGCTGGTTGCTTGACTACTTCTGCAATTGAGTCTTGTTCCAGAACTTGAGTTTTGTGTGCATATCCGTTTTTCAGGTCTGGATCATTTGTATTCACACCCTTGCTTCCTTGCCTCTGTGGCAGATGCAGTCCGACTGTGAAGGATGTCCCTGATTAGTTAGCTCTTACAACATGCTTTATTTTTGTTCCAGGGTACGCAGGTGTCGATGGTAATGAAGAGCTGATAGGTTGGCTAGATCTGCTATCACAACCGACGGTCAGCCTATGGATCATGCTGAATTATTATTGCCCTCAGAGAAATGGGAAGGATAGAGGACTTTGGAGGCAGTGAATCCACATCACTCGCCAGAATGGCAGACTTGGGAATCAAAATCGGCATGGCCAAAAAAACGAGACGCACATCAGACGACTTGTTAATCAACATAGGACTGGAACTGTTAGCCATTGGACGTTGGGGTTCATACTGAGGGGAGGATCTGAGCACCTATGGACATGTCCGGACTGCAGTGATGATAACCCAACTAACTAACTAACTAACTAACATGCTTGTTAGGGAGGCATGGGTTTACTCAACCCACCTCTTCCCCCCCCCTCCCCCCCCCCACAGTGGGACCCCAGCTCCCGCAGAGGGACTGAGTTTGTGTGACTTTGGTGTCTTGTTTATTGACCTGTCATTTGCATGTTATGTAGTTATTGTGTTACATCCCATGTGAGGTGGTGAAGTGGGTTTGAGCTTCCAAGTTATGTTACTGAATAATATCTCTGTTTTTGATTAGAGAGGAAGGTCAGGAAAACCATGGATAACTGGATGATATCTTTGTTCCTGTGTATAGAGCTGGGGTAGGCAAAAGATGGCTCATGAGCCAATGTCTCTGTTTTTGGTTATAGAGGTTAGAGAGGAAGGTGGGGAAAATCATGGATAACTGGATGATATTTGTGTTCCTGAGTGTAGAGCTGGGGTAGGCAAACGATGGCTCGTGAGCCAAAATGGGCCTGCCGAGCTAGATATTGTAAAGGTCCTTTGGGAGTGAGTAAACATTGAAGAGGCACAAGTAGATCACCACAGTCTGAAGAGAATAGTGCAGCGAGGGATGACCAGGAGTTCTGGCCGACGCTCAACGGTCAGGGTAGAGGGTGACACAGACATACAGTCGGACTGTTACTGCTACCATCAGAACTAGAACTCTGTGCTTGCAGCTTAAGATGGATGTGGAGCTCTTATAGGAATATGTCTGCAGTTGTATGATGTCAGTTCTCAGCTCATAACTGTGCCATTAACCTGGTTTCTTGAGTACGAGTGGGCTGCCTTTAATTCCATCTGTGCGATAAATGTGAAAAAGTGTCTGGCTTTTGTTGCAGGAAATCGGAAAGCTCTGGTAGAGAAGTCGGGCCTGGCCAAGCATGCAGCCAGCAAGAAACTGAAGGACACCCAAAAGCCTGCCCCCATTGAACCAAAGTCCACGTCCAACAGGTGAGCTTATTTCTTTCTTTCTTTCTTTCTTTCTTTCTTTCTTTCTTTCTTTCTTTCTTTCTTTCTTTCTTTCTTTCTTTCTTTCTTTCTTTCTTTCTTTCTTTCTTTCTTTCTTTCTTTCTTTCTTTCTTTCTTTCTTTCTTTTTTTCTTTCTTTCTTACTTTCTTTCTGTTTTTCTTTCTTTCTTTCTCTTTCTTTCTTTCTTTCTTGCTTTCTTTCTTTCTTTCTTGCTTTCTTTCTTTCTTTCTTTCTTTCTTTCTTTCTTTCTTTCTTTCTTTCTTTCTTTCTTTCTTTTCTTTCTTTCTTTCTTTCTTTCTTTCTTTCTTTCTTTCTTTCTTTCTTTCTTTCTTTCTTTCTTTCTTTCTTTCTTTCTTTCTTTCTTTCTTTCTTTCTTTATTTATTTCTTTCTTTCTTTTTTCTGTTTTCTTTCTTTCTTTCTCTCTGTTATCTTTGATTTTTCTTTCATCTTTTTATATCTTTCTATCTTTCATTCATTCTTTCTTGTCTTTTCTTTTTGTTTTTCTTTAATTTTTTTCTCTTGTCTGTTTGTACTTCCTTCTCTTATTTCACTATATTTCCTTTTAGCTTTATTTTCTTTCTCTCTTGCTAAAAAAAAATAATTTTCTTTCTTTCATTATTGATTTGTCCTTTAAAAAAAACTTGCTGTTTTCTCAAGAATCAGTTTTGAATGTCCTTCCTTTGCACACACCACACTTCTTTCTTTCCTCCCTCTTGTTTTGTCCATTTTTCTCTGCCCATGTTGTGTGATGTTAACTTCATTTGGCTGTTTCTCTCATCAAGTGTTGTGTTTATTCTAACATTGTTGCAGCGAGAACCAGCAGTTCCTGAAGGAGGTGATCAACAGTGTCCTAGAAGGCAGAGGTCTGGGCTGGATGAAGGGCAACCGCATCAACAAGCTGATGGAGGATGAGAACTACCGCAACTTTGTGGTCAGCAGGCTCAACCGCAACCTGGACAAGAAGGTTCCAGAAGATGCATCTCATATGGAGGATGTCGTAAGTTGTCTTGCCTTATCTACACTCAGCTGTTGAGAAACCATATCAGTATTTCTTCTTCTTCTTTTTCTCTTCTTCTTCTTCTTCTTCTTCTTCTTTTTCTCTTCTTCTTCTTCTTCTTCTTCTTCTTCTTTTTTTTCTTCTTCTTTTTCTTCTTCTTCTTCTTCTTCCTTTCTTTTTCTTCTTCTTCTTCTTCTTCTTCTTCTTCTTCTTCTTCTTCTTCTTCTTCTTCTTCTTCTTCTTCTTCTTCTTCTTCTTCTTCTTCTTCTTCTTCTTCTTCTTCTTCTTCTTCTTCTTCTTCTTCTTCTTCTTCTTCTTCTTCTTCTCCTCCTCCTCTTCCTCCTTCTTCTTCTTCTTCTTCTTCTTCTTCTTCTTCTTCTTCTTGACCTCCTTCTCCTTCTTCTTCTCCTTCTTCTTTTTCTTCTTTACTTTCTTTTTTACCACTTCTGGTGTCGTGGGGGAAATATTGTTCTGCTTCTTGCTCTTCTGACCATCTCACCCACAGACACAGAGTTTCTCTGTTATCTTTCCATCTTGTTCTTGGTCTACCTTGTGCTCTACATCTTTCTACATTATATGACATACCAGTCTTGGGAGAGAATAACATGACATTACATGACATACCAGTCTTGGGAGAGAATAACATGACACTCTTGGGTCTCGGTGGTGATAACCTGGTACCATTTTGATTGACAAGCAGTATGTTCAGTATAAATTCCTAACTCAGTATTCACAATGCACAGTCAAGTTAGATTCAGCTCCCTTTGTGGTGTGCAACGTGTGGGTGTTGCGCATCTACATAACACAACATAACATAACCCTTGACCCACTAGGGTCGTAGAGGTGTATTAAAGGAAGCACTAGCACATAAAACCTGCCATCTTTGTCTCCTGCTTGATAATAAGTGTATAACTTAGTCCTGTCCATTTCTTGACGTCATTCCAAGTTCTTCTTTGCCCTTCTCTTCTTCGACTACCCCCCTTCTCCCCTAATGTTCCTTGAAGTACAGTATTTTCGATCAAATCATGTCTCACAACGTGCCCAAACCAGGCTAGCTTGCGATGTTTCACCACTGCCAAGAGAGGCTCCTGATGTCCTGCAAATTTGTATATTTTGTCTTTGCACATCTACAACAATCATAAGAAATTCAAATGACGCAGTCAAACAACCAGCAGAATTGTTATTCCTTACCTTCTTCTTCGTTCACCGGCTGTGAATTCCGGCAGAAGGTCCCGGTTAATCGTCCGCTTGGACTTTTGGCTTTTACCTGGACCTGAGTTTTGCATGTACAACCGTTTTGCTGTTCCCTGCCTCGCGGGCAGACGTACTCCGACTTCGAGGAAAGACGACATGCCTATTTCTAGGATGACTGTGGCCATTGTTTAGTGTGGGTCGAGACGTTGCCTGATTTGTGTGGTGTCCTCTTTGTCTCCTTCTCCGCAGGTGTTGCCCCCGGAGTACCCCTTTGGGGCAGCCCCTTGTGGAACGGTTAGCCCTCAAGAGAAGGCAGGGGCAGATCATAGGCATTCCTCGCCATCCAAGGAGGCTTCTATGTATGCAGAGGCGGCACATGGCGCTCTGGTTGTGGGCTCACCCAAGGAATCGTCACGTCCTGCACATGCCTGCTTAACCTCACAACCGTATAAGGCCTCCCGTTCGACAAGGGCTGCGCCCTCCGGAAATCAGCGGGGAGCAGCCCGTGGGTTCTGGACTTTTGTGACCACACGAATAGGTACATTCTTTTTCGTCCCACGTTAGATATCTTTGACGAGCCGTTAGCACGACAGAATTTAACATCCTGCGTCAGGCATATTGTTGTCTGTTTGGTACCAACACTCGGGTGAGTGGGGTCTTTGGGTGTGGATATTTGGACTTTTTCCGTTCAGTACGATTTGTGATGGTCGGATTTTGAGCTTACTCGTGTGCCGTAGGATCTAGTTTTGTCGGACATTTAGGCTTAGCCAGCCAATGGGCTGTTGCTGTTGTGGTGTACCTCAGCGCAGTGACGACAAAACTGAGGGTTAACAGGATGTACATGGGTAGAATCTTGCTGCGAGACGCCACCCCCAGGAGATGTTACTCGTCTGTGCTGCGGGTAAATCTCTAGGTCAAGGGTTGAGTCTCAGCAGAACAATGTTCTCTTCACTCCGTAATCTTTTAACCAAGGGTTATAATTTTAGTTGTTCGTTTGGCAAGCACTTTACTCATGCTCCTAATGAGCTTTGATAACCTTTTTCACCCATGCGTTTGGGGGCGGGCTGGTGAGAGCCACAAGGACACATCACCTCTTTGGGCCACCAAACTCCGAGATCCCCTGACAGCTCTGTTAATGCTCATTTGAGACATTATCCGTGGCGCACGACGAGGACGTGCTGAGGGGTCTTGAGTGAGGTTCCGTAAAACCAGAACAGTGAAGGACTGGCGGCCGAGTGACGTACGGAGTATCTCCTTATACACATCATGTTGGACTTAACTTTCCCTCACGCATGTGACATAAATCACCACGCCACGTTAGTCCTTACCAAAATTTATCACACGAAAATCACGACCAATCCTCCCTTTGTTAGCTAGACTGGTGTCAGGTTCCAAGAAGCCATTTGGAATCTGCATTTGCAGGTCGTGAGCATGTTTCCCACAATCTTGAAACATCAACACATTTTTGTAAAGAAATTCTCAAGCAGGCTGAATTAACTAATTTCTTCACCATCCCCCTGCCACAGTGTGTCAGCAAGCCAGTGTTTAAAGGCATGCTGTCACTGCTGAAGGCCATCATTCACGGTCTGGGGCACACAATCAGCAACCACGGGCTCGGCGGCATGGCTTCAGCTTACATGGTCCTGGAGATAGCTCACACACATTGCTGGGCCAGGGAGTTGTCCGCCAACAAACCTGAGTCCAAGCTCAACCCAGAGGTAAGTGCTTCATATTCTTTTCCTAACAATTGTTAGTTAGTTGTTAGTCGAAGTTCTAACGTCTCTACAGGCAGGTCACCCATAACTACTCTGCTCCTGTGCACGTGGAAATCACACACAGTGTCCTGCAATGTCCTATTTCAAAACTCATGAAAAACTTGTCTGACAGGCAAAATCTTGAAGCATGCACACACAGAGTAAAATTTATAAGGTATTTGTCATATGTGCCGACACTAATGGTCCCACACCAGAATCACAGCTCACACTGTGCAGTCTGGCAGTTACGAAAGCCAGCATTGCACAAACAAAAGTAAACCATTTTCATTGTAATCAGCCACCTGCCATTTTAGCACAGTCAACAGATCAGCACGGACAGAACAGCAAACATAATTCCACATGAATTCCACAGCTCACAGTATTGCACCAAGCACTCAGCTCAGTAGCTGTGATGGAACCTTAGAACTCCCGGTTCAGAAATGAGTTCACATAATCTAAACCTAGCTGGAAACAAATAACTTTTCAGATCATCAGTGGTCAACCGGCTTACGCCATTTGCTTCAGAAGTCCTTTTATTGTTCTAACACTGTAAGTATCTAGGTACATGGTGCATGCTTCTGAAACATTACCAAGCATCGTTTGTGATGGTGCACGTAGTGGGCATCTTTTAGATCTTTTCTCCAGGGTATTCTGGTGTGTTGGTAAATGAACAGATGGACATATTAGATGGGTCTGCATCACTTGTTGTTGAATTGACGCATCACAAGGTAGTTGTTGCCAAGTCCTTTGGGAACAGGTAAACGGAATCACAGATTGAATAGTTCCTCATGGATTGAACAGATTTCTGAAGAGATTGCTGCTACATGGAGTCCCCAGGTAATGCGACCCTTAGCACACAGAGGGGCTGCGTGGTCTTGTGGACATCATGTCCACCTCGAGTGCTGGAGGTCCCGGGTTCAGGCCCTGGTGAAGGCTGGCATTTTTTCACGTGGATTTCTAGTAATTTCCCCTGTTCTAGTAAAATCAGACGCCTGTGTGTACTGTTGCACAAGTAAAAAATCCCTTGGCAGTTGAAAATCGAAAAGAGTAGCCTAACAGCGCTGCACGGGCAAAATGTGGAGTTAAAAAGTATGTGAGGATCTTCGCCCGTGCTACGGAGTTCAGTAATGTCCTGAGTTCTGTGCTCTTTGCGCCCAGTCGAAACCCACTGCTGGCTGCGTGGATTTGTATCATGGTATGGGGCGTCGCAGGTCGACCCAGCCTAAAATAGGTACCAGGATGTATGTCCTGGGGAAGTAAAGACGGCCGGCGTAATGCTGACCACATTACCCACCTAGAGCCGATTAGATTGGTCTGTAAAAATATGGGTGCTCTTCCCATATGCTCGATGTGCCTAAAGGCGGGAAAAGGGATCTTTTCTTTACTTTTACTTCTGTGATCTTGTCCTTAACTGATGTCAGGTGTAGCAAGTCATTTAAAGAATGTTGCTTTCTTCACAGCCACTTGGAAAAACTCTTGAATATTTACCAGTGCTTCTGCTTTATGTATTGTGATGTCCAATGTGGCGTTTAGGTCAGTGTTTCCCAAACTTTTCTTAGTCGGGGCACTTTTTTCAATTGCAGTTTTTCTACGGCCTCCTAATCTTAGTAAAACTATGACTATTCGGATGTAAGAGATAAAAAAACAAAAATACTTGTGTATCTTCAAATATTTCACGGCGCCCCTGTGAAGAGGTCGCGGCGCCCCTGTGAAGAGGTCGCGGCGCACCTGTGAAGAGGTCACGGCGAACCTGTGAAGTGGTGGTTTTCTCCCCGGGGCGCTGCGGTGCACAGTTTGGGAATCGCTGGTTTAGGTAGACGAGTTCATGAAATGCAAATATAAAGAGAATGAGACTTTTCAGTTTGTTACACTGTGGTGGGGAAAAAAAAAAAACTTTCCATCCAGGACACAATCCTAAATAATCAGTTTAGTCCTGTTCAAGAACCTGAGTTTTGCATGCACATCTGTTTGACCAATCTGACTCATGTATATGCAGACTGTTGGTTCTTTGCCCCTCAGACCGATGAAGTCCGACTTTGAAGAAAGCGCCAAGTTAGTTGACTCTTACAGCATGTTTTTGGGTAGACAGTGGGTCTGGTCTTGTTTTTCCCACAATGGGAGCCCTGGAACCCACACAGGGAAAATTCATAGTAACTCTTATGTTATGATTTCATGATAAATTATGTGATACTATACTAGTAACACTTATTTTAAATCTCTGTGATAATTGTTATGTTAGTGATGATATGTTAACTGACTGACTTCCTCCAAAGAAACCCAACCTTCATGGAAGCCATGACAGTCTGGAACCACCTGGATTTCGGAAGGGGGATGAGAGCAGCATATCATCAGGTTTGTTCAGTTGTGGGGAGAAATTGATTTCTGTGTGTTGTGATACTGTTGATAGTTACAACAGTATATCACCAGGTTTGTTCAGTTGTGGGGAGAAATTGATTTCTGTGTGTTGTGATACTGTTGATAGTTACAACAGCATAAGGTTTATTCAGTTGTGGGATAAATTTAATGCATATATGTTGTCATACTGCTGATCGTTACAATAGATATCAGGTATATTCATTACAGGGAGAAGTTGGTTTGTGTGAATGAATGATTCATACGTTAAAGTAATTGCACTCAGGACATTCCCACACATGCTGTGTCTCCTTCCACACAGATCTCCCACACGTGTTGTGTCTCCTTCACACAGATCTCCCACACGTGTTGTGTCTACTTCACACAGATCTCCCCTGCTGGTGGCTCTAGTTGTAACCTGATTAAAACCGGCCTGACGGTTTTCCCTGAGGATCATTTTGCATATGTGTCATACTGTTGGTAATTGTAATAATGTATCGTCAGGCATGTTTCATTGAGTGGAGATGTTGGTTGATATTTCTTGTTGAACTGTGGCATATGGAAGCAGTTTATCGTGAGTTATGTTTAGTTGTAGGGAGAAGCTGATGTCTCTGTCTTGTTACACTGTTGTTTATTAGTGTAACGTAGCGTCAGTGATAAAGTACGGTTAGTTGTTGGGAGAAGTTCATATCGATATCTTGTTACATTGTTGTTTATGAGTGTAATGTATCGTCAATGATTTAGTGTCAGTGATCAAGTATGTTTAGTTGTTGGGAGAAGTTGATACCTGTATCTTGTTACATTGTTGTTTATGAGTGTAATATATTGTCAGTGATCACATTCTTGATTGTGAGAGTACTGTATCATCACATATGTTTAGATGTAGGGAGTACTTGTTTTTGTGTTTTGTCACATTGTTTGTTTATGGCAGAGGGAGGGATCATGCTGCATGGGAAGCAGTTTGTCTCTACATCACTGCCCAGTCTTTGTACTGTGAAGAAAGAGAACTTCATCACTGGCTTTAATTGGGATCACCATAGGCTGTAGTTCCTTTGCCTCTCTATAATATAATGAGACACTTTTGTCTGGACAGACGGAAAGATGCCAACAAATTATCACTCATGTTCAGTTCGTGGAGACTAAATCTAGTTGTTTCAGTTGTGACACTGTCCTGTAAATGTCGATATGTGGCCATTTCTGCAGTGAACTGTCCATGAAGAGCATAGTTGAATGCCATTTTTTCTTTATGCATATGTGGTTCTTTATGCGTCTGCGTAGTGTTTAGAAGCCTGGGTGTGAATATATATTGTCTTAAAATGTTCCCTTAGCCTCAGTGATAGAGGTAATGGGGTCATGGCAAGTTTCGTGCAGTACATACAGTTGTTAATCCCCGAAGAAAGTATTCCATCTAAAACTTCACTCTGTTTGTTCTTCTGGATTACTTCCTTTAGATATTTTTAAACAAAAATTTTAAAAATTTAGTTTAATACATGTTATAACAATTTAATCAACTGAAGATTTAAAAAAAAAATTTTGTATACATTTTTTTTAAAAAAGGGCACACTGTCTGATTTACCACTTTTTCGGGTGGTGTAGACTGGGGGTCATGAGCCTGAGGATTCAAGGCCGCACGGCTAGTGCTGTTGCCACGGACTGATCAGGATAGGATTTTTAAAAACTCCCATCACTTTACCAGGTGTCAAACCCGGGTCTCCTGCATGAGAGCCTTGCGTTATAACCACGTGGCCAGCCCTACTAATAGTTGCCTTTTAATTTTTTAATTTGTGCGAAATTCCCACTGTTTCATTGCCCATTTTTTTTTTAGCATTCACTGGGTGAAAAGGGTTAAGGAAAAAGTTTGTTTTAAGTTTGTTGGTTGTGAGATTCGAGTATCATCTGATATGTTTATTGGTAAGGAGAAGTTGCTGTCTGAGTCCTGTAGTTGTTGTTGCTTTTTGGGGCAGTGTATCATCAGTATCATTGAGAAGTTGCTGTCTGAGTCCCGTAGTTGTTGTTGCTTTTTGGGGCAGTGAAACATCAGTATCATTGAGAAGTTGGTTTATCTGTCTAAACAGCTGAAACTGTTTCGAACTGTTTAGCTTCATGAGGTAATCTTCTCTTGCCAGAATGGTGGCATGACAAGCGAAGGTCTGACTCACAATCGTCGAGTTCTATCAATTCTCCCCGCACACCATGCACACCACAGCTCACAGGTATCACCACCAACCTCACATTCAACCCCAGCGACTCATTCCCATCATTTCCTTCGACAGCTTCTGGTAAGTGTCGCTGTCATCTCATGGTTTGTTATTGTTGTATGCATGATGGAGGTATCTGTGGTGTGCTTACATATCACTCGCAGGCACAGGAGATCGTTGCACGCACAGGATATGCCCGCATGGTGACCACTGCTGGGTTCCAATAGACAAATAGTGATCGAAAGTCGCACTTAACCTCCCTCACCTGGATCTACACACCTGGTCATGCGGGCGTAAAGGGAAATGAGCGAGCGGGCCAACTGGCAAGCATTGCACCAAGGCGTGTGGGAAGAAGCATGGACAGAGCAGATATTGTCAATGCTGTACGAACTGGGCTAGTGGATAATGAGGAATCCCTGACACTAACATAATTCCGTGACATGGGAGTAAAGCATGGTGAAGCACGTCTTTGCCGTCTTTGAGGTAGAGATAGGAGACAATATAACTAGCTTCTCATGGGAAAAATTAGTAGAAGTACTTTGGAGTGGCTGCTGCTGGGAATGCCCAATGTGCAGTGACGTCGATTGTGATAACATAACATAGACAAGTAGAGACTGATGACAATGGAAACACTATAAGTAGGCAAGGTCTACAACTATCCTGCCAAACTGTAATGTATGCCATCAAATATTATGTATGCTGGCGCCCCGCTCGCTAGCTCAGTTGGTTAAACCTGACTGTGCGGCGACAGGGTTGTCCAAGTTCATGCCTGGGGGTGGACAGAAAAGCCACATTTCTCCCAGGTTTACAGTACCGATCATGGAATCAAGGCCGAAGGGTTGCGATATCCTTAGTACCGACCCCAAGGGTCAACAGCTCATGGTTTTCTGGATGCTTTAAAAAAAGAAGTCTATGCATGCGTGTGTGTCGTTCAACATCAGCAGGACTCTACAACAGCTGGTGACACAAAGTACCACCATTTGGATGAAAATCACCCAGGCACAAGTCCCAGAACTGTTAGGTTAAATTAAGGCCCCCAACTACAGCTAGGGTGCGGCTTTAAAATAATGAAAAATCGTTTTCTACTTTGGGATGTGAAGCATGTAATATATCTATGTGATGCTTTATTAATTTCTTACCCTAAACAGGGGAAATCCACAGGTCACAGGACAGTCTAATATATAAGGGGGTGGTAGATAGGCTGCATGCAGTCATGGGACCTAAGCTTCATGCCCTTGTGGGACGTAGGCTGCATGCAGTCGTGAGAGGTAGGTGGGTTGGGGTTAGGGCCAGTTCTAGATGTTTTTAGGTTGTTCAAAGCATGAGAAAGCCGGGAAACCCAGTCTTACCACCCTCAGAAATGTTGGACTGTCCTGTTACATCATCTGGGGGTAGGATATTAATAAAGCACCATCTATGCTAATGCAGTCAGTGCTAGTGCAGTCAGTCTGGTTTACTATGGACACACATATTTTAAATTATGATGAATTGGGGATCAATGAATAAACGCACTTGATGCAACTCCAGTTCCCTGAATTAAGCAGATTAAATGGCTGTGCACTCCACACTCCTGGGCACCTTTGGAATCAAATGTAACCCTGGCATAATCGCCAACTCTTTTTGTTTGCACGGGTTGTGGAAACCAGGGAAGGTATGAACAGCAACAGTTGTATTATCTCTTGCTTTGTTTGCTCAAATTGTGGTTGCCAGTTAGCGAATAAACTTCCCAGCTGCTGACAGTTTGTCTTGCGTTGGTTTTAACAGTGGTACCGAGAGCTGACCATTCAGAAAGCAGTGGCAGACTACTGAACAGAAAATTTGCCTTGAAAACCACAAAATGTTGAGTTAGATTCTGCAACGTCCTGTATGGGATATGCAACTAACTTTGAGAAGGCGGAGAAGGGCAAAGGGTGTATTTGTTGTCCCCCCTCTATCCCCAGAAAGGGTGACCTAGAAGCCACACGATGTCAGTATATATAAATAACATCCAATGAACCATCTTTACTTTGTTCAGGTTCTCCAATGACCTTCAGTGGCAGTGAGATTGGAAATGTAGAAATAACATCAGTCTCCGATGACGGGGACAGTGGTCATTCTGACAGAAGCCAGTCTGATCCAGATAAGCTGCAACAACCAGGTGCTTGTAGCGATGGAAGTGCCCATGATGCTGCCACTGGAGGAAGTTCCTCGGCTGACTTGGAGACAGCAGCTTCGGGGACGGTGCAGATCTTTCAAGCTCAGCATAGCCAGGGAGTCTGTGACATCACAGTGACGGACACGGTTCCGGATAGCCGGATCAACCAGGGACAAGGTGATATGCTGAGGGATATGGTCAGAAACAAGGTTAGTTTTATCAGTCAGTGTCCATAAGCTTGTTTTATTTTTACTTACTCTCTGACTCATTTATCTCATGCACTTTTTCTTTAGTGATTCATTTTTTTCTTCTATGATCATCCGAAGACGTAAATGTGTTGTGCCCATTTACAACATGATTGCCATATTGCGCTTTTCGACTGACACATTTGACTTCTGCGGGCATTTGTTGTCCGGGGTTACCCTTCCTTGTTTGTTAGTGATTACGCTTGCTAGACATGAGTGTTGAAACAATTGACATTCTTGAGTCACACCTTGAGAAGGGGGAAGCTGGAGAACATTGTGACAACTGGAAAGTTGGAGGTAAGGGGAGGCTGAGCTCTGATCTGAGATGGAAGATGCTGGACATCTTGATATTATGGCTTGGAGGATCATCTGTGTCAGATTGATTTAAAATACACAAGATAGAGAGCTGTAGAAAAACATGGCTACCAAAGCCATATAGCATTGACGGTGAGAAGAAGAGAGTCTGTTCAAGTACAGGTAATGAACCTGATAATAAGTTTGAGGTTTTCAGCATTTCCTCATAGTTTATCTTGAAGGCCAGTCCTGTGGGCCAGGTTGCCTTTTTTAAGTCCTCAAGACAAAATCAGGGCAATCCATCTCTTCTGTTTGGCTTTCACCAGCTGTAAACTTTGGCAGAAAGTTTGATGCTTTGTGTTATTATTAGGCATGTCATAGAAGTAGAGGTTAAACTTGTCCAGAAACTGTTTGATCCTATGGAATGTAACATTAGAAATGCCTGCACACTGGCAGCTTCCATGAAACATAACATTAGACATGTCCATGAAACATTAGACATGTCCATGAAACATAACATTAGACATGTCCATGAAACATAACATTAGACATGTCCATGAAACATAACATTAGACATGTCCATGAAACATAAGACATGTCCATGAAACATAACATTAGACAGGTTGAGGAACCATAACATTAGACATGTCCGTAAAACATAACATTAGACAAGTCCATGAAACATAACATTGGACATGTCCATGAAACATAACATTAGACATGTCCGTAAAACATAACATTATACATATCCATGAAACATATCATTAAACATGTCCTGGAAATGTAACCTTGGAAATATAACATTAAGCATGGCCATAAAACAAAACATTAGACATGTCGAAGAAATACAACAATTATATGTGACCATAAAACATAACATTAGATATGACTGACTGACTGCTTCCATGAGTACAATATTGGACATGTCCATTAACCGTTTGCCTCCTTGAAACACAACATTACACTTGTCCATTAACTGTTTGCCTCTTTGAAACACAACATTAGACTTGTCATTTACTGTTTACCCCTTGAAACACAATATTAGACTTGTTCATTAATTGTTTGCCTCCTTGGAATGTAACATTATGCTTGTTCATTAATTGTTTGCCTCCTTGGAATGTAACATTATACTTGTTCATTAATTGTTTGCCTCCTTGGAATGTAACATTATACTTGTTCATTAACTGTTTGCCTCATGGAGCACAGAAAAGACTTTTTTGACCATTCACTTCCACATAATTTTAAATAATCTTCAAACCTCTCTTGAAAACCACGCAGGAACTGATCAAGACAGGAAGGATGGACCGCAAGTTCAACAGCGAGGATTCAGAGATGTCAGAGGCCAGTACGCTGGTCAGTACTAAATCTGAGAGACAGGACTTGGGCAAGAAACGGCAGAGGATCAACCACCAGACCATCAGAGCGGCTTTGTCGGACAGCGAGATGGAGACCACTTGGGTAAGAGTCATGCTGAGGGGTCACTTTGTGGCTTCACTGTTTGTTTTTGTTTTGTTTGTGTGTGTGTTGTGTGTTAAATACCTGGGTTTCATAAGTCAAGCAAGTTGATATGTTTAAGTACGTTGGTATCCTCATAACATCAGATGGAAGATGAATTAAAGAAGCTAAATGTAGAATAGCTCAAGCAAAGGCAGCATTTTCCCAATTAAAGAATATTTTATGCAATCAGTCTTTGTCAGTTGAGACCAGAAAGAGAATTCTTAAAAGGTATCTAAATCCTATCTTGATATACGGAAGTGAATCATGGACAGTTGGTAAATAAATGAAACTTATTTGGAAGTTGCGGAGGTGCGGTTTTATAGACTAATTGTGAGAATACCCTGAACAGATTAAAAAGAAGCAATGAAGATGTCTTGAAAGAAACTGACTCACAAAGAGAACTGACTGCCCACATCAGAAATAGACAATGCATTTTTAGTTATGTGATGAGAAGGAGAAAATTGGAGTACATCATGACAGCAGGAAAGTTGGAGGGGAGGTGAAGCAGAGGGAAACAGAGAGAAAAGATGCTAGACAGTTTGACATCATGGCATGGAGGATTATCTGTGTCAGAGTTGATTGAAAGTTAATGAGACAGAAGGTTGTGGTTAGACATGACTACCAGCGCCACATGGCATGGACTTTAAAAAGTAAGTGAGTAAAGGACCTTTTTTCACACCTTCAAGTCAATTGGACATATAGGGCTTTTACGACGCCGCGGTAAATTTTTAATAATTCCTAAACCATGGGACTTACTCTGGGCTCTCTCGTGGGACCTAGGCTAAGGCTATGGGGTTAGGGCCAGTTCTTTATGTTCTGGGGTCGTTAACTGGGGTTGTGTAGTATAGAACATGCAACATTCCCGCTGATAGCATCATAGACAAGACAACGTGACACCCCTGTAACATCGACTAGCCTGTTTCACAGGTGAGAAAGCATGAATGAAAGTCCAATTATGCTATTTTTGAGCTGGGAATCGTAATAAGAACCAAACATGAAAGAAAACTAATAACCTGCCAAAGGAGTTGTTTCTGAAAGGTGGTGATCAAAACTAGAAGAAATTATGGGAAAAACGAAGAAATATTGGAACAACACCTATAATTAAATTATTTGAAAAACAAAGACTAAAATGATTAGGCCATTTAATGAGAATGAATCCAATGATATCAGCAATGAAAGCGTAAAACATGACAGTAGAAACACCAAGTGGTAGTGGACGACCAAAAAGACGATGGATTGAAAGAGATTCCACAACATCACAGCATACCAGGCAATCGAGTGTGCCCTAGCTCAGAAAATGGTCATATGTTACCCTGCAGTGCTTAGTGGCACAAAGCAGAAAATGGACCTTCAACAGAAACCAAACAAAAATTCTTAGAAAAAACAGTTCTGAGCAAAGCGTTTGTAACAACTGATGTCATGTTTCTTCTTTAGCCGGCCAGTGGCCACAGCCGCCGTAGAGGCTCCAACAGCATCTGGAACAGCAAGAGTACTTTCAGCACTGGCTACCGCTACCACGAAGGAAAACTAGTCCACACCGGCATGGCAGGGTTAACCGCCGAGAGTGCCAAGAACAGGACCTACCTCTTCGAGGGCTTGGTGGGGAAAGACAGGTCCCGTATCTGGGACAATATGCAGTTCTGGGAGGACATGTTTTTGGATGCTGTTGCCCAGGAGAGAGACATCATTGGGATGGATCAGAGTCCATCGGAGATGATGGAAAGGTCAGTGTTTGATTTTTGTTTGTTTGTATGCCAGGTTTGATCCTTTTATGCCTATATTTTCTGTAGCCCTGTCCATTGAGTTAATAATGTGTTGATTCCCCTCCACCCAATAAGGGTTGACACATTCTGTTTCTGGGACAGCTTTTATCAAGTTTGCTCTCTAGACAATTGTAGTCCCCTGCTAACGAGATTCTGTTTTCCTGAGTGGACCACCAGGATCAGAGCATTGTAAATGCAACGGGTTTGAGGTAGCGAAAACTATCGGTCATTATCCTGCTCCAACATACCACAATACACACTGCTCCCACCAAAAACACATAGTATCCTGCTCCAACATATTACAATACACACTGCTCCCACCAAAAACACATAGTATCCTGCTCCAACATACCACAATACACACTGCTCCCACCAAAAACACACTGCTCCAACATACCACAATACACACTGCTCCCAAAAACACATAGTATCCTGCTCCAACATATTACAATACCACTGCTCCCACCAAAAACACATAGTACCATACCACAATACACTGCTCCCACGAAAAAAACACATAAGCTACACATCCTGCTCCAACATACCACATACACATTGCTCCACGAAAAACACATAGTATCCTGCTCCAACATACCACAATACACAAAAACACATAGTATCCTGCTCCAACATACCACAATACACACTGCTCCCACCAAAAAACACATAGTATCCTGCTCCAACATACCACAATACACACTGCTGCTCCCACCAAAAACACATAGTATCCTGCTCCAACATACCACAATACACACTGCTGCTCCCACCAAAAACACATAGTATCCTGCTCCAACATACCACAATACACACTGCTCCCACCAAAAACACATAGTATCCTGCTCCAACATACACAATACAATACACACTGCTCCCACTACAAAAACAAAACACATAGTATCCTGCTCCAACATACACACTGCTCCCACAATACACACTGCTCCCATACCACACATACACAAAACACATAGTATCCTGCTCCAACATACCACAATACACACTGCTGCTCCACACAAAAAACACATAGTATCCTGCTCCAACATACCACAATACACACTGCTCCCACCAAAAACACATAGTATCCTGCTCCAACATACCACAATACACACTGCTCCCACCAAAAACACATAGTATCCTGCTCCAACATACCACAATACACACTGCTCCCACCAAAAACACATAGTATCCTGCTCCAACATACCACAATACACACTGCTCCCACCAAAAACACATAGTATCCTGCTCCAACATACCACAATACACACTGCTCCCACCAAAAACACATAGTATCCTGCTCCAACATACCACAATACACACTGCTCCCACCAAAAACACATAGTATCCTGCTCCACCACATACACATACCACACATACACACTGCTCCCACCAAAAACACATAGTATCCTGCTCCAACATACCACAATACACACTGCTCCCACCAAAAACACATAGTATCCTGCTCCAACATACCACAATACACACTGCTCCCACCAAAAACACATAGTATCCTGCTCCAACATACCACAATACACACTGCTCCCACCAAAAACACATAGTATCCTGCTCCAACATATTACAATACACACTGCTCCCACCAAAAACACATAGTATCCTGCTCCAACATACCACAATACACACTGCTCCAACATACACACTGCTCCCACCAAAACACATAGTATCCTGCTCCAACATACCACAATACACACTGCTCCCACAAAAACACATAGTATCCTGCTCCAACATACCACATAATACACACTGCTCCCACCAAAAACACATAGTATCCTGCTCCAACATACCACAATACACACTGCTCCCACCAAAAACACATAGTAGTATCCTGCTCCGAAAAAACACATACAACATACAATACACACTGCTCCCACGAAAAACACATAAACACATACCACAATACACACTGCTCCCACGAAAAAACACATAGTATCCTGCTCCAACATATTACAATACACACTGCTCCCACCAAAAACACATAGTATCCTGCTCCAACATATTACAAACACACTGCTCCCACCAAAAACACATAGTATCCTGCTCCAACATACCACAATACACACTGCTCCCACCAAAAACTCCAACATAGTATCCTGCTCCAACATACCACAATACACACTGCTCCCACCAAAAACACATAGTATCCTGCTCCAACATACCACAATACACACTGCTCCCACCAAAAACACATAGTATCCTGCTCCAACATACACATACACACTGCTCCCACAAAAACACATAGTAGCTCCAACATACCACAATACACCTGCTCCCCATACCCAACAGTATCCTGCTCCAACATACACAATACACACTGCTCCCACCGAAAAACACATAGTATCCTGCTCCACAACATATTACAATACACACTGCTCCCACGAAAAAACACATAGTATCCTGCTCCAACATATTACAATACACACTGCTCCCACCAAAAACACATAGTATCCTGCTCCAACATATTACAAACACATAGTATCCTGCTCCAACATACCACAATACACACTGCTCCCACCAAAAACACATAGTATCCTGCTCCAACATACCACAATACACACTGCTCCCACCAAAAACACATAGTATCCTGCTCCAACATACCACAATACACACTGCTCCCACGAAAAACACATAGTATCCTGCTCCAACATACCACAATACACATTGCTCCCACGAAAAACACATAGTATCCTGCTCCAACATATTACAATACACACTGCTCCCACGAAAAACACATAGTATCCTGCTCCAACATACCACAATACACATTGCTCCCACGAAAAACACATAGTATCCTGCTCCAACATATTACAATACACACTGCTCCCACGAAAAACACATAGTATCCTGCTCCAACATATTACAATACACACTGCTCCCACCAAAAACACATAGTATCCTGCTCCAACATACCACAATACACACTGCTCCCACCAAAAACACATAGTATCCTACGTTGGAAATGCGCACAAAAAAGCAGTTCATGATTAGGAAACAGAACAATCCGAGAGAATTGACAGTCAGCTAAAATAAACACTGCTACTATCCGCCATTTTGAAAAGGAAGTCGAAAGTAAACATATAAAGGCCATGATCAGTGTAGTAACTCATAGACATTTTTTTTAAATGGTTGCTTTGCTACTAATGTTATTGATAAAGTTTATATGACCTCACAGGTAAGTTGGTTAAATAATGAATGTTTCAGCATATTTTTATTCTGGAAGCTACCATGTAGTGGATCCAAAGGTCGTGGGTTCAAATCTGGAGGGAGCCTGACTGTTTTCAGAAACGACATTGGCTCTCAGATCAACCCAGCTGTAAATAGCTACCGTGTAAAGTCCTAGGAAGTAAAGGTGGCCGGCATGATGTTGACTGCATCACACACTAAGTACTGATTAGTCTATATAATGCAGGTCTAACACGATATGCCAAATAGGCCCAAAGGTGAGGTCAAGGGTCCTTTACGTTTTCATGTTTATTTTGTCATTGCCAGGTACACCTCGCTGACTGATGTGGAGAAGAGGAGGCTGGAGCTTGATGAGGACAAGCTGTTGGCTTTGATGCTGTACAACCAGACAGCCTTCATGCTGATGATGAGGGTGACCAAGGTGGAGATCAAGAAGAAGATCCGCCGTTTGCTGGGCAAGTCCCACGTTGGACTGCAGCAGAGCCAGGAGATCAACAACTTGTTGGATAATATCCAGCATTTGGTATGTTGAATTTGGGGACGCTGGACATTCTCTAGGGTTTGTACTGTCTCCTGCTGATCCACTTTGGGTATTTCCTTCCCAACATTGTGGACACTTTCCAATACTTGGTATGATGCATTTGGGGACTGGACATTCTCTGGGGTTTGTATTGTCTCCTGCTGATACATTTTGGGTATTTCTTTCTCAACATTGTGGACACTATCCAATACTTGGTATGATGCATTTGGGGATTGGACATTTTCTAGGGCTTTTACTGTCACATGCTGATCCGATCTAGTAATCTTAGTTTCAGCTTCATAGCAAACAGGTCACTCCATAGTTGCTCCGCTCCTGTGCCAACGAAAAACACACAGAATGTTTATCACAGTTCCTTGTGGAAAGATTGACAGACTGCTGTCTCAGCATATGTACTAGCATACACGCGCATTCAAAGTATACGGTAGCCATTTGAAGTGCTAACACAAACAGTCCGACAGTAGAAATGCAGCTCATCATGGATGGTAGCAGAAGTCACCAACAGATCAGCAATTGCACACGCGATCTATTTTAATCACATAATGGCACCACCAGTTTTGCGACAACAGGCATCGCGTCATTTTCTGAATCTACAATTCGCACCACCGCATCACGCATTGGTCACAGTCGAAAAACATTCCAAATGAAATCCGCAGCGCACAGTGTCATGCCATGCACATAACTCAAAAGCTGGGTGCCAAAACTATTCTTTCAGTCTACAAATGAAGCAAAAATGCAACGGCCACTGTCTGGCAGAAGCAAAAAGATGTGCCATGCCTCCAAACAGTGACCATGCCTAGCATCCATTTTGACTGGTGCTAATCCCCTTTGGGTATTTCCTTTCCAACATAATGGACACTATGAAACACTTGGTATGATGAATTTACGTACTGGACATTCTCTGGGGCTTGTACTGTCTCATGCTGCAGATTTCCATTTATATCCTTTCCTCTGCGCTTTCCGTCCCAAGAAACACATGATGTGTGAGTGTTTTTCCATTTGAATCCCAAATATCCCATAATGTGTTGTCTAATTTTGCAGTTTTGATCATAGGATTTTAAAGAAAATGGTCGTCACATTGGCCACTTGCAGTGTATGTTTAACTTTGATCATAATAATGCTTTCACGATTTTATTTTGTAGTGACATTTTCTTTGCCAGTTAAGCATATGCTTCAAAATCATCTGAAGTTGAAATAGTTTATTACAACTATTTGTCATTATTTGTATCCCTCTCTTATCTTATCTCTCCCTGCTTCTTCTTCTTCACTTCTCCTCCTGCTTCTTCTTCTTTACCTCTCCTCCTCCTGCTTCTTCTTCTTCACTTCCTCCTCCTCCTTTTTCTTCACCTCCTCCTCCTTCTTCTTCACCTCCTCCTCCTCCCCCTTCTTCTTCGCCTCCTCCTCCTGCTTCTTCTTTACTTCCTCCTCCTCCTCCTTCTTCACCTCCTCCTCCTGCTTCTTCTTCTTCACTTCCTCCTCCTCCTTTTTCTTCACCTCCTCCTCCTTCTTCTTCACCTCCTCCTCCTGCTTCTTCTTTACTTCCTCCTCCCCCTTCTTCTTCACCTCCTCCTCCCCCTTCTTCTTCACCTCCTCCTCCTGCTTCTTCTTTCTCCTCTTCCCCTTCTTCTTCACCTCCTCCTCCTCTTCTTCTTTACTTTCCTCCTCCCCCTTCTTCTTTACCTCCTCCTCCCCCTTCTTCTTCACCTCCTCCTCCTGCTTCTTCTTTACTTCCTCCTCCCCCTTCTTCTTCACCTTCTCCTCCTTCTTCTTCTTCTTCTTCACCTCCTCCTCCTCCTTCTTCTTCACCTCTTCCTGCTTCTTCTCTTCTTTCCTCTCTTCTTCTTCTTCACTTCCTCCTCCTCCCCTTCTTCTTCCTCCTCCTCCTGCTTCTTCTTTACTTCCTCCTCCCCTTCTTCTTCACCTCCTCTCTCTTCTTCTTCACCTCCTCCCCCTTCTTCTTCACCTCCTCCTCCTGCTTCTTCTTTACTTCCTCCTCCCCCTTCTTCTTCACCTCCTCCTCCTGCTTCTTCTTTACTTCCTCCTCCCCCTTCTTCTTCACCTTCTCCTCCTCCTCCTTCTTCTTCACCTCCTCCTCCTTCTTCTTCTTCACCTCTTCCTGCTTCTTCTTCACTTCCTCCTCCCCCTTCTTCTTCACTTCCTCCTCCTGCTTCTTCTTACTCCTCCTCCTCCTCCCCCTTCTTCTTCACCTCCTCCTCCTTCTTCTTCACCTCCTCCCCCTTCTTCTTCACCTCCTCCTCCTGCTTCTTCTTTACTTCCTCCTCCCCCTTCTTCTTCACCTCCTCCTCCTGCTTCTTCTTTACTTCCTCCTCCCCCTTCTTCTTCACCTTCTCCTCCTCCTCCTTCTTCTTCACCTCCTCCTCCTTCTTCTTCTTCACCTCTTCCTGCTTCTTCTTCACTTCCTCCTCCCCCTTCTTCTTCACTTCCTCCTCCTCCTTCTTCTTCACCTCCTCCTCCTGCTTCTTCTTTACTTCCTCCTCCCCCTTCTTCTTCACCTCCTCCTCCTTCTTCTTCACCTCCTCCCCCTTCTTCTTCACCTCCTCCTCCTGCTTCTTCTTTACTTCCTCCTCCCCCTTCTTCTTCTTCACCTCCTCATCCTTCTTCTTCACCTTCTCCTCCTCCTTCTTCTTCTTCACCTTCTCCTCCTCCTCCTTCTTCTTCACCTCCTCCTTCTTCTTCTTCACCTTCTCCTCTATCTTCTTCTTCTTCCCCTCCTCCTCCTTCTTCTTCTTCTTCACCTCCTCATCCTGCTTCTTCTTCTTCATCGTCTCCTCTTCTTCCTTTTTCTTTTTTTAAGAGATTGTGTTGTCCTATAAACTTTGATAGATTTTTATTATCCCATAAATGTTGAGTGATTTATTATTGCACAGATTTTTTAAAAGATTGTGTAAACGAACGAAGTTTGAGAGTTTATTAACTAGTAGAGTTAGAGAAATTGCTTTACCCCGGTCTCTTGTCTATGCTCCACAGTACGGCAATGACATTGATCTAAAGCCGATGTGCAGTCGGAGGATACAGAGGTTGTCTTACACTGTCCACTGGGGGGTCAACAATCAAGGCGATATGTTGTTTATGGAGGTAACCATTTGTGTTTTAGCCACCATTCTGTTCATTGTGGCGCACTTACAGTCAAATTTTTTTTTTTTTTTTTTTTTTTTCAATTTATTCTTTCAGTGGCAAAGGCTGGAAGCAGGTACCCAGCTGGGGAAAGGATAGTTACAACATCTATCCACTGTCATGCTGGTTTACCTTGTTTCTTCTTTCAGCAATTGATGGATTGTTTAGCACCTTTCCATCCTATCAGGTGTTAGTGTTATACTGTGGAGAGGCAGGGGAAACACAGTCCAAGGATGGTGAGTGTGACTAGCAGTAGCCGCCAGCATGTTTCAAAGCACAAAGCTTGGGCAGTTTTATAGAGACCACGTGTTGCGTGTGATCTGTCTCTCGACCTGCCTTTTTTTTATTCCAAAGGAAAGGTAGCACCAGTATGTTTGGAACAAAGCACACTGCAGCAGCTGCCGGATCAGCATCAAAGGAAAAACGGTTTAAAGTAAACTCATCTGAAAGTTAGAATCAAGTGAGCTTTTGCCCTTTTGCTGTACGCAAGTTTTCCGTCGTCGTTGTGTTCGCCTTAGGACAGCATTTCCTGTTGATGGGTGATAAACTCTTGCTGAATTTTGCTTCTCGCCGATAGGAAGAACTGATCTCAAAGGGTCAGAAAGCAACATCACAATGAGCTCTTGGCTGTCACAAGCTAGTTATCCCTGTGGTAACGTTTCTGACGCCTCTTGCTTAAAACTCTTAAAGTCAAAAGGATTCAAAGGCCCATGAAATCACAACTTCTTTTACTGCTCTTTCACAGTGATATTTAGTATGGACCAGTAATGAAAGAGCTGACCAGCTGACAAGTGATGCACAATGCAAGCAGGAAGAAGCATGGACAGAGCTGAGGTCATTAACGCTGTACGGACAAGGTTGTGGGATAATGGCAAATCTCTGACGTTAACATGACTGCATGACCGAGCAGTTAAGCTTGATGAAGCACGTCCATGTTATCCTTGAGGTCAAGACAGGAGATACTCTAACCAGCTTCTCATGGGAGCAATCAGTAGAGGTACCTTGGAGTGGCTGCTTCATCGGAGGACTGAGCATACCCTCTCTGCAAAAACGTTGATTGTGATAAGAAAACATTTCTTCTTCTTTTTTTTGCGTTTGGTTTCGTATGCTCAGATCAGACCATCAGGTGGGTTCCCTCTATGAACTCGCATGTCAGCTGCAGGTCCTGCATGGTTACCCATAGCTTGCTCTGCACACTTTGCTCTTGAGGCCAGGTGTCTTTTCCAAGTTGTAGGTAGAGTGGGCAGGTCTGCAGAATGTGCTCAGGTGTTTTTGGTCCTGTTTGACAGGCACACTGTGGGGACTGTTCAATCTTTATTTTATACATGTGATAGTTTAGCCTGCAGTGTCCTGTTTGTAGAGGGAAAATTGTTGTATGTTGCTTTCTGTTGAGTCTGCTAACGGGGTCTTGTGGATGTTTACTGTTAGTTTGTTCTCTCCACAATTCCTTGTATTTTTCTTTGATAAGTGTTCTGATTTCTGGTAATGACAATGAATGGGTGTGTTGTTTCTCCTTTGTTCCATTTTTTGCAAGTCTGTCTGCTAACTAATTTCCTGGTATGCCACAGTGAGCCGTGATCCACTGGAGAACGATTTGATTGTTTTCTGTGAGTCTGAAAAAGTCTGTGAGTCTGCCATAGAAAAAGCAGTGTATATGTGACTTAGGCTTCATAATTCTGATGGGCCTGTGGGCATTTTAGTAGTGGCATCTAGAGCCAGCTGTTCAGAAGGCAATGGCAAACTACTGAGCATAAAATTGCTTAGAAAAATCACAAATAGTCACATAAAATGTAGGGGTTCAATTCTGCAACATCCCTTAAAAACATGTGCAACTAACTGTTTTTTCCAGCCCTCAGTGAGTGATAGATCCTTTCTCATCATGGTCTGAGTGAAGAAACTTGGTCCTGCTACCCAGGGTTTCACTGATATCATGTGCCCATCTTCAAGCTGGTCAGCCCTGCCCCTCTTTCCTGGTACATGCCTTCTACTATTATGTTTTTCCAATCTGCAGTAGGGCTTGATATGGCCAAAATATTTCAGTTTTTCAGACGTTGCTGTTTCCTAGCCAAACTTCCTTGATGTTCAGATACTCATTAATTAGGAAAGGTATAATGTGAGAAAGTTGATTGATCACCACACCTCCAAGGTTCGAGCATAAGGCGACATTGAGAAATCTTCCATCCAGGTTTATGATGACTGCTTGCTGCTACGAAACGTTACCGGAGCCATCCACGACCGCTGGTGGTTTGAGAAAATTGTCAACATCACCTACTGCCCCAAGACTCGCGTCTTGTGTTTGTGGAGAACGAGTGACGGCAAGGTCCAACTGAATCAGTTCTACACCAAGAAGGTCAGTCAGAGAACTTGAAGTGTTATCTTTTATCCCTGTTCCTTGTTTGGCAATTCTTGTTTGTTTGATTTTTGTTTGTTAACACCCCGTATACTATTGGAGTCAGCGTCTGTGGCCTTGCATTGGTTTTGACAGTAGTATCGAGAAGCCGACCGTCCAGAAAGCAAAGGCAAACTACTAGACGTAAATTTGCTTAGAAAAACCATAACAGCTTAAAATGCCTGGGTTGGTTCTGCAATGTCCTGTAAAGGATACACAACTAAAATACTGAACTTCCCAAGAATACCCTACAAAATCTGAGTCCCACATCAGAAGGAGAAAACTGGAGTACCACATGACAGTGAGAAAGTTAGAGAAGAAAACTGGAGTACCACATGACAGTGAGAAAGTTGGAGGGAGAAAAGAGCCAGAGGGAGACTAAGAGAAAAGATGCCAGACAGTTTGACATCATGACAGGGAAGATTATCTGTGTCAGAACATGAGACAAAAGGTTGTGGATAGACATGACTACCAGTGCCACATGACCTGGACTAAAAGAAGAAGTTGTGTGTGTACAGCATAGCTGGGATATTTGTGTATTTTGACCAACACTTGCAACCTCTTCGGGCATTTGTTGATAGCTAGCCTTCCCATTTGCTTGACAGTTCTGTCCAATGGCCGGTTAGAGAATTTCTTGTACTGTCTGAGTGGGTTCAGGCCCTCGTGAAGGCTTTGATTTTTTCACTTGGACTTCTAGTAATTTTCCCTGGTCTCTGAGTAGTCAGATCGGACACCTGTGTATATAGTTGTGTATGTAAAAAATACCTTGGCAGTTGTACCATCCTTGTTGTTCTTCTTATTGATCCATTGTGTAAACCTAAATCTTGTACCGTCCTTGTTGTTCTTCTTGTTGATCTGTTGTGTAAACCTAAATCTTGTACCGTCCTTGTTGTTCTTCTTGTTGATCTGTTGTGTAAACCTAAACCTTGTACCGTCCTTGTTGTTCTTCTTGTTGATCACCAGCTGTAAACTCTGGCGAAAAGTTCTCCTTGATCCTCCACTCCTGGACTTCAGTCTTGATCTTGTACTTGTGTACAGGCTGATTGTTCTTGCCTCTCAGGTATATGCAGTCAGATTTGAAGGAAAACCTAGTCAGTCTACACTTAGGACATGCTTGTTAGGGGGCAGTGAGGCTGTTCTGTTTTGCCCCCACTTGGGAGCCCAGGAATCCAGACTGGGCTTTTGAGCTTAACTGCTGTGGAAAGATTCTCAGAATACAGTGGACCAAGAAGTAAAGTAAAAAAACATCCTTAATTTGACATTTCAAATTGTTATCGCCTTAGGCACCAAGAAGCACATCACATGTTGATTTATAACTAATTTAACTGCCCTCTGGTATCAAAAGAGTTAATGTTTTGTTTATCCCCCCTCCCTGTGATAAAATGTACTGAGATCAGTCAGTTGATCTCTGGGCTGATTCCTAAACTGTTACCATACTGTCCTGAGATCAGTCAGTTGGTCTCCGGGCTGATTCCTAAACTTTTACCATACTGTCCTGAGATCAGTCAGTTGGTCTCTGGGCTGATTCCTAAACTGTTACCATACTGTCCTGAGATCAGTCAGTTGGTCTCCAGGCTGATTCCCAAACTTTTACCATACTGTCCTGAGATCAGTCAGTTGGTCTCCGGGCTGATTCCTAAACTTTTACCATACTGTCCTGAGATCAGTCAGTTGGTCTCCGGGCTGATTCCTAAACTTTTACCATACTGTCCTGAGATCAGTCAGTTGGTCTCCAGGCTGATTCCCAAAGTTTTACCATACTGTCCTGAGATCAGTCAGTTGGTCTCCGGGCTGATTCCTAAACTTTTACCATACTGTCCTGAGATCTCAGTCTGGACGACAGGCCAACAAGGCAGATCACAGACACCTTCTTCAACCTTTAAAGAAGATAATTAGGGCACTTGTAACAGTGACACCAGCCTGGTGTCACCTGCAGTCCTGTTTGCGTCAGTGTTATACTGCAGGTTAACAAGTGAATGTCATCTGCTGTTTTCCCAGTGTCGAGAGTTGTACTTCTCTGTCAGGGAAGCCATGGGCAAGGCCGCAAGCAGGAAGCCAGAACCGCGGCCTGGTCTCACTTCTCCAGGTATGTCTTTTCATGGCTGTATGAGTTCTGTGTCAGGATTATCACATTACTTCATGTACAGTCATTGTATTTCAGAATTATCACAGTACTTCATGCACTGTTATAGTAATTCAGGATTATCACAGTAGTTTATGCACTGTCATAGTATTTCAGAATTATCACTCTACTTCATGCACTCTCATAGTATTTCAGGATTATCACAGTAGTTTATTCACTCTCATAGTATTTCAGGATTATCACAGTACTTCATGCACTCTCATAGTATTTCAGAATTATCACAGTACTTCATGCACTCTCATAGTATTTCAGGATTATCACAGTACTTCATGCACTCTCATGGTATATCAGGATTATCACAGTGACATGGACTTCCTGTTCCCAGAATCCTCTGGCCTTCCTGTCTTTCTAAGGGCCTTAACAATGTTGGCGTGATCCATAGGCCTGCCGTCGCAACGGAGGCAGAACTGGCCAGTCTGTCTGAATTACAATAAATAAACCAGGCTTGTTGTAGCAACAAATTGTCATTGGCAAACAACAAAAAACACACAAAAAGCACAAAGAAGAAAATATCATGAATAGATGTCTAACCAAAAGAAAAGTAGAACTATCCAGCTTTACATTATTGTAAACACAAATGGCAAGTGAACTTTTTGACTAGAAAGTTGGCTCAGCAAACTGCATGAATGGACAGTGATAAATTAGGCAAAATAATACACAGGATCACTTAAAGGTGTGACAAGCAAGGACAGTAAATAAAAAGTATTAGATAAAACTGTGTTTGACGTTAAGTCCTCTCGGCAGTTTGGAGCCCATTAGATTAAAGAAAATAACACTGTTTTACTGCAGTGTAACCTGTTTCATTAAAATATAGATCATGCTGACTGTTGTACTGATATAGAATGTGGAATCTGTCTAGTTGCTGATCTTGGTGGTGAATATCCGGTGCAGTGTCTGAAGACCAAAGAGAGTGGGATACTCAAAGTCTGCATGGAGGGGATTGGTTTGCTGCTACAGAATAGCAAGGTGAGCATGTAGCTACTGGCAAGTTAGTATAGCCTTTCTGCTGGACAGGGAAGGGACAGAATGTGTGGAATCCTTGGATGTGCAGCAGTGCAGCTACAAGGTGGCAGAACTCAGGGAGGAGACAGAGGCAGGGATTAAAATCCATCCACCCACCTACACTGGACAATAGGTTCTCTTGTAACCAATAGGTTAAAATAATCTTTATAATTTTTTTTTAGGTAAAGGGCGTATTGGGCATAGAGGGTTAGTCTTTTATTTTATAAACCAATCGGCGTTCGGTGGGTGATTGATCAACATCATACTGACTGGCAACCTTTACTTTCCAGGACTTTACCTGATACTCATTTAAGGCTGGGTCGACCAGAGAGCCAAGATCATTTTTTAAAGTACCTGAACCCGCAAGCCTTCGTATCTGCAGGCAAGCATCTAGCCATTACACCACAGCAGCTCCAAATATAACTGTTTTTCAGTTAAACAGGGTTTCTGGGATTTGCTGCTGATAGATTTTCATCCAAATAGTGTCTCTTTGAGTCACTGGATGTTAATCCTTCAGTGTGCAGTTAGATGGGGTATCTCAGCAGTTTCCATGCAATGGAAGAAATACCATTGTTTTGAAAACACATTTCAGTGTGTGTCCTCTAAATCTGAAAAACATCTATAACTAGACTTCTGTATATCATTGTTTATCTCACCAGACTTGATCTCTAACCAACTAGTATGCTATAACTAGACTTCTGTATATCATTGTTTATCTCACCAGGCTTGATCTCTAACCAACTAGTATGCTATAACTAGACTTCTGTATATCATTGTTTATCTCACCAGACTTGATCTCTAACCAACTAGTATGCTATAACTAGACTTCTGTATATCATTGTTTATCTCACCAGACTTGATCTCTAACCAACTAGTATGCTATAACTAGACTTCTGTATATCATTGTTTATCTCACCAGACTTGATCTCTAACCAACTAGTATGCTATAACTAGACTTCTGTATATCATTGTTTATCTCACCAGACTTGATCTCTAACCAACCAGTATGCTATAACCGGACTTCTATATATCATTGTTTATCTCACGAGGCTTGATCTCTAACCAACCAGTATGCTATAACTAGACTTCTGTATATCATTGTTTATCTCACCAGACTTGATCTCTAACCAATCAGTATGCTTCAACTGGACTTCTGTATATCATTGTTCATCTAACCAGGCTTGATCTCTAACCAACCAGTATGCTTCAACTGGACTTCTGTATATCATTGTTTATCTCACGAGGCTTGATCTCTAACCAACCAGTATGCTATAACCAGACTTCTGTATATCATTGTTCATCTAACCAGGCTTGATCTCTAACCAACCAGTGCGCTATAACTGGACTTCTCTGTGTCACTGTTTCTCTGTTCATGTTTATCCAAGAATCGTTGCAGTTTTGCTTATGTTGTCTTGTGATTTATATTACCATCTTATGTACATGGTGACTACTAACTTTCTTGTATTCTGCTGTATTTATTGTTTCTGTACAATTTTAAGGACAATTGCCATAGTGACCCTTATTATATATCACCTTTTTTAAAGTTGCTTGAGACATCCTGGATCTGTTCTTATTGGCATGACCGCCCAAATATGGCTCATTGGGTCATTATGGTGTTGAACAGATATCAGGAAGCAGATCGGGGCAAAGAGACAAAGGAAGGCCAAAAAATGATGGTGTTGAACAGATATCAGGAAGCAGATCGGGGCAAAGAGACAAAGGAAGGCCAAAAAATGAGGGTGTTGAACAGATATCAGGAAGCAGATCGGGGCAAAGAGACAAAGGAAGACCAAAAAATGATGGTGTTGAACAGATATCAGGAAGCAGATCTGGGCAAAGAGACAAAGGAAGACCAAAAAATGATGGTGTTGAACAGATATCAGGAAGCAGATCGGGGCAAAGAGACAAAGGAAGACCAAAAATGATGGTGTTGAACAGATATCAGGAAGCAGATCGGGCAAAGAGACAAAGGAAGACCAAAAATGATGGTGTTGAACAGATATCAGGAAGCAGATCGGGCAAAGAGACAAAGGAAGACCAAAAAATGATGGTGTTGAACAGATATCAGGAAGCAGATCGGGCAAAGAGACAAAGGAAGACCAAAAAATGATGGTGTTTGAACAGATATCAGGAAGCAGATCGGGGCAAAGAGACAAAGGAAGACCAAAAATGATGGTGTGTTGAACAGATATCAGGAAGCAGATCGGGGCAAAGAGACAAAGGAAGACCAAAAAATGATGGTGTTGAACAGATATCAGGAAGCAGATCGGGGCAAAGAGACAAAGGAAAGACCAAAAAATGATGGTGTTGAACAGATATCAGGAAGCAGATCGGGGCAAAGAGACAAAGGAAGACCAAAAATGATGGTGTTGAACAGATATCAGGAAGCAGATCGGGGCAAAGAGACAAAGGAAGACCAAAAAATGATGGTGTTGAACAGATATCAGGAAGCAGATCGGGGCAAAGAGACAAAGGAAGACCAAAAAATGATGGTGTTGAACAGATATCAGGAAGCAGATCGGGGCAAAGAGACAAAGGAAGACCAAAAATGATGGTGCTTTGAACAGATATCAGGAAGCAGATCGGGGCAAAGAGACAAAGGAAGACCAAAAAATGATGGTGTTGAACAGATATCAGGAAGCAGATCGGGGCAAAGAGACAAAGGAAGACCAAAAAATGATGGTGTTGAACAGATATCAGGAAGCAGATCGGGGCAAAGAGACAAAGGAAGACCAAAAAATGATGGTGTTGAACAGATATCAGGAAGCAGATCGGGGCAAAGAGACAAAGGAAGACTTAAAAAAAATGATGGTGTTGAACAGATATCAGGAAGCAGATCGGGGCAAAGAGACAAAGGGAAGACCAAAAAATGATGGTGTTGAACAGATATCAGGAAGCAGATCGGGGCAAAGAGACAAAGGAAGACCAAAAAAATGATGGTGTTGAACAGATATCAGGAAGCAGATCGGGGCAAAGAGGACAAAGGAAGACCAAAAAATGATGGTGTTGAACAGATATCAGGAAGCAGATCGGGGCAAAGAGACAAAGGAAGACCAAAAAATGATGGTGTTGAACAGATATCAGGAAGCAGATCGGGGCAAAGAGACAAAGGAAGACCAAAAAATGATGGTGTTGAACAGATATCAGGAAGCAGATCGGGGCAAAGAGACAAAGGAAGACCAAAAAATGATGGTGTTGAACAGATATCAGGAAGCAGATCGGGGCAAAGAGACAAAGGAAGACCAAAAAACACATGGAGAAGGGAGCTAGAGAGTGGAGTTGAAAAGATGGGGAGGACCTGGACAGAGCTGCATGCAGTAGCGAAGGATATAACAACTTGGCTGGGGTTTGTTGAGGGCCTGTGCTCCAATGGGGATTATAAAGGCAGAAGAAGGTAGACATGCAACCAGAACTATTCAGATTCATTTATTTCTCTTTGTGGGCTCCTGGGCCCCTTTTTGAGGTGGTGGGGGCGGGATAGACCCACTGCCACCAGCAAGAATGTGTCAAAATAAATAATTAGGGGTTTGCCAAAATCGAATGTGTTGGGCAAATATTACTGCCTAGCTATACACAAAAACACAACCTAGCAACTGCTTTATTAATTGCAAGCAAAGAAGAAAAGAATTCCTTTCTTTATTGTTTTCTTGGCACATGATGCTACAGTCATTGGAGTGACTGTGTGGTATTGTTTGCTGTATCTTGTGCTTGTTTTTTTTCTTGAATTGCCTTTGATGTCTTGTTAATATTGTCTGACACTTGTTGCACAATTGTTGCTGTTGTATTTGTGATGTCATTGGTTTCGGCTGATTGGTCATATGTCTGTGTTAGTTTCATCATAAAAAGGTAAAGTCGGAGATGTGAACCAGCGTCATTGCAAATGGTTATAAGCCGTTCTAGAGGTATATATAAGTGCTCTGCCACCAGTACAGATAGATGATAAGAAACTGTCCGCCTGTGTCGCTGTCCGCACGTAGCTCCGTAGCTACAGTGACGTTCCTCTATTCACCCCAGAGTCAATCATGTTTAATCATGTTCTGACCATTCTAATGCTGGTCTCTAGGGAAGAAATTAATCCACTGGGCTGTGATTAAACAGCTTAAAGACGCTGAGAAGGGTAAAAAACACTGACACACACAGAAACAATGAGACATTTTGGCAGCAGTCTTTATCAAGAAAAATCACAACAAGGGTGAATGTCGGCACTTTACAATCTGTTCTGTTCTGTGCTGGGGTCAATTGGACTTTGAAAATAACGATTAGGAAATCAAATTGAGTCTTTGGAAATTGGATATAAAGAAAAGTAGTTGATATTTCATGGAAACAAAAACAGCCGAATACAGTTTCCAGAAAGACTGAATGAAAAGAGAGTGACTAAAAGAAATTTTGAAAAAATATATACAGATGAAATATTTTGGCCACATTAAAGGACATAATGCTTTTTCAAAAACTCTACTGGAGGAAAATGTTGAGGGCAAAAGGTAGATAACGATACAAGTGGGAAGACAACATCAAGAGATGTATAAGCAGCAGTCTTAGAGCATGTACAGCTAAGATGAGACAGTGAATGTTGGAAATCCATTGCAGCCAACCTGTATTGTGGAGATGGCACCTTATTGACTGAAGTGTTATCTTGTAGCATTTTTTTGGCGTATCCTTACAGTCTTGTTTATTCTTTCTATTCTACCCTTGAACAGAAATGTAAGTAGCTAGGCACATGGATAACATCTGATGGAAGATGTATCACAGAGATCAAGAATAGAATAGGACAGGCCAAAACTGCTTTTTATAAAATGAAGAACATTTTGTGCAATAAATCCGTGTCATTAGAGGTTAGGAATAGAATTCTCGCATGCTATATAGAGCCAGTTTTAACCTACGCTTGTAAAACCTGGACAATTAATAAACAAGCCGGACAATATCTTAAGGCCGCAGAGATGTGGTTTTATAGAAGAATCCTTAGA